GAACAAACAAAGTCAGCAAGGAGGTTAATACTCTAGCAGGAAAGCAACACCAAACACAAGGGACCTCCAAGTCACGGCACACTTAGTATGTTCAAGGCACTGTGGCAGACATGGTAACTCCATTCTATTTATCTAGTCCTGCTTTGTACTAAGCACTTTACACACACTTATGAGTACCTACTGATTTTTGTCACCCTTTTGCAGATGATTTCCAGTTAACATGAGATCCAGAGATAAATGACTCAGCTGAGGTCATCCAACCAGAATGTGGAGAAACAGTTGTGTTCTTCCGAGGCAGGTGAGTTGTAATATAAGATGACAAGAATGTAATGATGCTGATAACAATGGCAGCTAACATATACTGGATACTGCTTATATGCCAGGCACAGTTCTAGGTTCATTCATGTAGTAATGCAATCTTCATAACAATCCTATGAGGTAGGGACTCTTACTATTCCCATTTTACAGACAAGGAAACTGAGACTTAAGAGAGGTAACTACTACTCAGTAAGCCAGGATTTGTACCCAGGCAGTCTGAGCCCAAAGCTTATGTTCTAACCAGTACAGAAATTAGTCACCAACTATTTCCTGACCATCCACTACACATCAGGCACTGTGTATCAACTTTGCAGAATACATGCCCACAGGGAGCTTTCAGCTGGAAGACTAAGATAGCTGGACAAGCTAAGTCATCAGTCAATCACACTTGATCTCAGATGCTATCAACATATTAGGAGTATACTGAGGAGCAAGGAACAGCAACAACATACCCAGAGAGAGAGAGTGTGTGTGAGTGTGTGTGTGTGTGTGTGTGTGTGTGTGTTGGGGGGGGATGTTAGGGGAAGGTGAGTGTATATAAGAATTCAAATCTACTCTAAGGCCTGAAGGGGAAGGAGAGGGAAAGGGAGAAGTGCTCCAGGAAGAGTACTGGTGCTTCTCAAACTGCTTAGGTAAGTTACCTGGCAACCCTGTTAAAATGCAGAATCTGATTCAGTGGGTCTGGGGTGGAGCCTGATATTGTGCATTTCTAATAAGTTTGGGAACAATGACATTTCTTTTTGTTTGTTTGCTTGTTCTTTGAGACAGGGTCTCACTATGTTGTTCAGGCTGGTCAAACTCACTGTGTAGCCCAGGCTGGCCTCAAACTCAAAGCAATCCTCCTGGCTCAGCCTCCTGAAAGCTAGGATTACAGGTGTATGGCACCACACCTGGCAATGACAACATATCTTGATATATGGATATATTTTTTGTTGTTGTTGTTGTTTTTGTTACCGGGGATCGAACTTGGGTCCTTGCGCTTGCGCAGCAGCTGGTGAAACCACTGAGCTAAATCCCCGGCCCCAGATATACTTTTAAATAATCTTGATGGAAAGTTTTCTAAGAATAAAACAAAATCTAGAAGCTATAAAGAAAAATGATATAAAAGGGAAGAAAACCTAAAAAGTATATACAGTACAGAAAAAGAATTTCGGTAAAAACATTTGCCATACATATAAAAAAGGACTGATTTCTTTAATATACAAAGAACTCTTACACACCAATAAAGGACAAAAAACTCAAAAGAACAGTAGCAGTTTAACAACAAAAATGTTTAAATGGCCAAACACAAAAAGATGGTCAACTTCATCAATAATCTAAAAAAATACATGTCAAAATAGTGATCTCCTATTTCTTACCTATTAGAGTCACAAAACTTTAAGAAGTCTAAGAATGCATGAGCTATCAGAAAATTGGCAGAGTCTTTGGGGAGAGCAATTTAGGAATATTAGAACTTGAAGGACTTCCAATTTCAGGAAGAAAAAAAAAAGATGTGCAGTAGCTTACGTATAACCTGGTTTCATTTATCTTTTTTTTCTAACTAAAAATTTGAAAAGCATGTACCAAAGCCAGAAATCCAAGGAAAGGCAAGTAAAGACAAATTTCTACCATGAATACCAATAAAAATATTTTTGCAAGAAATGAGCAAATTGAGCCAGCAACATATTAAAAGGTCTGTCTATGCATCATGATCAAGTGGGATATATCCTAGGAATGCAAAGATGACTTAATATCTGATCAATTAATATAATATACCATAAAATGGCACAAAGGACAAAAACCTCACTTCATTGCAACAGATGCACAAAAACACTTCACAACATCCAACACATAGACATTATTAAAAACTCAACTAGGGCTAAAAAGAAACTTCCACAATCATATAAAGGGCAGCAAGGAAAACTTATAGTCAACATCACACTTAATGGTTAAAGACTGAATGCTAAGTTCCCTAAGATCAGGACCAAGGCAGGAATGTCCACTCATCATCTCTATTCAAATCTGTGCTATAAGCTAGTGTACTATAGCAAACAAATGAATTAAAAATTAAAGGCATCCAGATCAAAAAGAAGTGAAAAGTGCTTTTATTTGCAGTTCACACAATCCTATAACTAGATTATCCTAAGAAATCTACAAAACTGACTAGCACTAATAAGTTCAGGAAGGTAACTGACTACCAAAGTAATATATAAAGGGCCAGGGATTTAGCTCAGTGGTGCTGCCACCTGCCTTGCAAGCGCAAGGTCCTGAGTTCAATCCTTGGTACAAAAAAAAAAAATATATATATATATATAAAATATATATATAAATAAATTAACTATTTTCACATACCAGCAACAAACAATTCAAAAAAATTCTACTTGCTATCAAAAAGAATAAAACAAAACAAAAAAAAGAATAAAACATTTAGGAATACATATTTTAAGAAGAACCTGTACATTGAGAATTATAAAATTTTGCTAAGAGGAATGAAAATACCTAAATAATTGGAGATATTATTTGTGGATTAGAAGACTCAATACTGTTAGGATGGCAATTCTCATATTGATTTATGGATTCAATGCAATTCCTATCTAAAATCTCCGCAGGCTTTTTTGTAGAAACTGACAAATTGGTCCTAGAATTTATATAGAAATGGAAAGGACCTGGAATATCCAAAAAAACTCTGAAAACAAAATTGGAGGGTTCATATTACCCAATTTCTAAACATTACAAAGAACAGTAATAATGACAGTGTTGTAAGGATAGGCGTACATAACAAAAGGAATAGAATTAAGTCTAGAAATAAACATACATTTATTTATTTATTTGAGAGAGGGTCTATGTAGTTCAGGCTGGCCTCAAACTCACAGCTATCCTCTTGCCTCAGCCTCTGAAGTGCTGCGATTACAGGTGTGTGCCACCACACCCAGCTAGAAATAAACTTTTAGAGTAAGCTGATTTTTTTTGGTACTGGGGATTGAACCCATGCAAGCGCTCTACTACTGAGCTACATGCCCAGTCCTTTTGTGATAATGGCTCTTGCTGTGCCCTGGGTTGGCTCAAACTTGTAGTACTGCCTCAGCCTGTGCTATGCCTGGCTTAGGGGTAAAATCTTCACAAATCATGTATCTGATAAGAGCCTTGAAATTATGTACCTGAAGAGAGACAGTGTCCAGAATATAATTAGCTCTTACAATTCAAGAAGACAACATGCAACTCAAGTAAAAATGTGCAACGGGGCAGGGGATTTAGCTCAGTGGTTCTGGCGCCTGCCTTGCAAATGTAAGGTCCCAAGTTCGATCCCCAGTACCAAAAAAAAAAAAAAAAGTGTAAGGCCTGATAAGAGTGATAGAACACTTGCCTAGCATGTGTGACGCCCCTAGGTTCAACTTCTGGGGGCAGCAGAGAGGGGAGATTTGTATAGACAATTAACCAGAGAAGATACATGAATGGCCAATAAACACTTAAGATGTTTAATTTCATTCATCATTACAGAAGTACAAACCAACACTCACTAACATGACTAAACTCAAAGACAGACAAGAAGTGAAGACCAGAATGTGGAGAAACTAGAACCTTCACATACTGCTGGTGGGAATGTAGAAGGCTATAGCCACTTTAGAAAGTTTGGCAGTATTTTAAAAAGTTATAAAAAAACTTACTAGCTAGGATTTTCAACTCTGGGCATTTAGTAAAGAGAAAAATAAATGTTCAGCAGATTTTCATGTGAATGTTCATACAAGTTTAATCACAATACCGTAGCTCCCCCTTACCCATGGTTTCACTTTCCAGTTTCAGTTACCTACAGTTAACCGGGTTTTGAAAATACTAGAAGTCCCAAGAATAAACACTGCATAAATTTCAAATAACTTTTATTATAATTGTTTTATTTTATTATTGTTGCTAATCTCAAAGTGTCTAATTTATAAATTAAACTTATCATAGACATGTATGAATGAAGTGACTAATATGGTGAATAATTAAATTTTAAAAAAATTATTACAGTAAAAGACACATTGCCATTAATTCCCCTCAAAATACTCCCCTTCAGTTTGAATACACTTACCCATTGTTCTTGCCACTTTCTGAAGTGGTTCAAGAAGTCCTTTTTCATGAGTGTCTTAGGTGCACTGTTGTGGCCACCTCAGTGTCCTGAAATTAACTCAAAACGTTTACCTTTCATAGCCATTTTGACTTTGGAGAAGAGCCAGAAGTTGCACAGAGCCAGATACAATGAACAAGATGATGATAACCCTATGTAATGTTTTTACAAGCCTGACTTTCTGTCAGATGGCCATAGGCAGAAACATTCAGTTTTCATTATAGCTCATAAAGACACTCACTAATGATGACTTTCAGAAGTGCTTCAGAAAGTGGCTAGAAACATGGGATGAGTTCAAAGAAAGACAGTATTTTGAGGGGGTTTAGTGGGAATGTGGCTATTACTGCAATTTAATCATTTACCAGATAGTTTCTGGCATCTACCTGGGGGATCTTGGAATGTAGTTTCCTTGGATAAGAGGGAACTATTATAGTTCAAAATTGGAAACAAGCCAAAGGCCCACCAATTAGTGAATGGAGAAACAAAATGTAGTACATCCACACAATGGGATACTATTCACCAATAAAGGAATGAACAACATAGATGAACCCCAAAAACATTTTCCTAAGTACAAGAAGTCAGATGCAAAAATCTATACCTTGTATGATTTCATTTCCATTAAACGCCTAGAAAAGGAAATCTACAGAGAGAAAGCAGATCAGTGGTTAGCTGGCTGTGGGAGTAGGGGCTGATTACAATGTCAATCCCTTGACTATAAAGGAACTTGTTGGGGAAACAGAAATGTTATAAAACATTGTGTCACTGGGTTACACAAGTCTGCACATTTACTAAAGTTCACTGGGTTTACACTTACAATGAGTTGTTTTATGGTATTAGGTCATATAATAAACCTGAAGAAAAAAATAGCTAAGGGGAAGTATAGATGAATGAATGTGGCAATAGAATGGTAATTGTTTAAGCCAGATAAGGAGGGTTAGCTATACTATTTCTTCTACTTTTGTATACACTGAAAATTGTTGTAATAAAGTTTTAAAAAGTAGGCATTTTTATATGTACAAAAAATTTCTACAGATATTTTATTTTTGTTTTTTGGTACTGGGGATCGAACTCAGGACCTTACGCTTGCGAGGCAGGCAGCAGAACCACTGAGCTAAATCCCTGGCCTCTACAGATATTTCAAAAAGCAAAGACTGCTGATGAATAAATTAGAAGTAGTCCAGTGCTTTTTCCTTTTCTCTCTTTCCATCCATCCATCCATCCATGGCAGTACTGGGGATGGAACCCAAGGTCTTTGCACTGAGCTACATCCTTAGTCCTTTGTTATTTTTAGACAGGGTCTAACCAAGTTGCTAAGTTGTCCAGGCTGGGCTTGAACTTTTGATCCTCATGCCTCAGCCTCCCAAGCCCGGACTATAGATGTGTGCCACCACACTCAACTTTATAGCTTTTCTTTTTAGTTGACAAATAAAATTATATATATATGTGTATACACACATACACATATTTGCACATGTTCATAGTTTTAGTTTTCTTATACTTTTTCTGATATACATGGGTCACCCTTTTAAAATAGAAAAGAATTGAGTTGCTTCTGAAAATACCTAGGTGAATTCCAAGAGGGAGATAAAAAAATTAAGAGTGACACAGAAAGGATTCTGACATCAGGTTTGCAGGAAACCACACAGATCAGCAATCCTTAATGTCAGGGAGAGTGTCACAAACCCTTCCGAGGATCTTATAAAAGCTACAGACCCTGCTCTCAGAAAAAAATGTTCCACTGTACACAATGAACATATAATTTCTGGGGAATTTAGGAATTAGAAGTTTATGGGCCTCTAATAAGACCCCACACTATACAGTGGTCCGACTTTTTGCAATTCTATCACTCCATTACTGTCTTTGGCCCTGACAGCCTGACAGAGAATGGCTAGCCTGCAGTTCATTTCTGTAAGGAAGGTAGAATAGCAAAGTGCCTGCTTCTTGAGAAATTCCTCGGTATTTTTCTTTAATTGATCAGCTCAGTAACTTCCATGTAAAGTCCAGTATGAAAAATCTGTTAAGTATTTAGCAAACATCTTTTTCATGTTCAGAGCCTTGAAAGGAGGGGGAGTCCTAAGAGATGTGAACCACCTCATCTGGCAGTAGTTTGCTTGGTTTCCAAGTCATGAGACTACAAAGGCATCCCGTCAAGGAACAAGGTGATGGCAATCTAGAAGCCTTCTGTGCAATAATCCTATACTCCACCACAGGCAAAGATATGGGTGACCTGGAAAGGTATAAGCTCAAGAGACCCAAGAATCGAGATTTATTTTTCTTCCTGTCTTTTATTCTTCAGGCTTGGACATTTGGAAAAATCTCTCCCAAAGAGCAGCTCAAAGGGGCTGATAGCACAAAAAAGCCCCGCTTACTCTCCAAATTTTGCTTTACTCAGTTTGAAAGGTGTGAACAATCAATTTCTTCCAAAGAAAATAGGAACTTTCCCTTGAGAACTGAAAATTATTTCATTTAGTCACATTTCTCTGTGACCAGAAGTTAACCCTTCCTTTTTTTGGAACTCTCTGCCTTGCAGTCTCTCTTTCCATAAAGAGCATCAGGTAGCCATAAAGTCTGTCCAATCTGTTGCTTCCATGTCTCTCCTGCCACAAAGGCAGCACCTTCATCACCGGAAGCTAAATGCTTTCTTTTCTTTCTTTCTTTCTTTTTTTTTTTTAAAAATGCTTTCTTTTCTTAAAGACAGTCACCATTTTAAGACCACATCAATAACTGCTCCTTAAATTAAAGGGGGGGGGGCAGTAGGAAAAGAAGACAAAAGAAAAAAAGGGCTCGGCAGCATTCTGTCAACAGTTAACTGAAATCAATTACCCAATCAGTTAAAAGTTCCCTAAGAATTCAACCACACAAGAATGAAGGCTACTTACCAAGCAGCCCCATGGAGCTAAAGAACTCACAGAGAAAAAGAAAACAATAAACTACCCAGAACCAAATTAGCCACTGGAGATTCTGAAAATGTAGCCGTTATTTCAGAGCTCATAGATACAGCACAGCTATTGAGCAGAGATACCTAAAAAGACTCAAAACTGTTACTTCAGTGGGAAAGACCCCCTGCCCCCAGCAGGCTGTGGAAATCCAGGTGCAACTAACAATCACCTTCACAAAGCATGCCAGGCTTAAACCATGAGTCTGGAAAGTGCAGAAATGTGCTGCCCTTTCCTCTTTGCCTGGAGGATTTACAAAAAACTCTCAGCTAGTCCAAGCAACAGGCTTAGATAGGACACCTCTGCAATTCTTCAAACTTTGAAGTCAGAATGCCATCTTTGTTGGGACTTACAACTCATATTTCATTTAATCACAATCTTTTTGAGGAAAGTATCATCCCTATTTCAGAAAACTGAATCAGTACAAGATGATGCAAAAGTTCTGAAGATGGTTGCATAATATTGTGAATGTATTAATGTTCTGAACTGTACACTCACAAATGGTTAAAATGGTAAATTTTATTTACAGTGGACCCTCAAGTTACAACCAACCTGACTATGAACAACTTGGGTTAATTAGGTTAATGGAAGATTCATCTTCTTCTTGTTATCTATAGCTTGTACCCAGTTAAACAACCAAATCTCAGCTGTATTGACTTAGTTACAATCAGCCCTCGGAACTGATCCAGTTCCATTTTGTAAATCAACGATCTATTGTATGTATATTTTACCACAAAGAGGGCGGGGGCAGAGGAAGAAAGAAAAGGCAGGGTCACAGGTACATATCCAGCCTGGGCAATTTAGCAAAAGCCTTTCTATTTAAGAAAGGGCTGGGGCTGTAGCTCAGAGCTCCCTGGGTTCATTCCCTAGTATCAATAACACACACACACACACACACACACACACACACACACACACTCCAAGCTTACAGAGGCAAACAGTTTGCCCACATCATAAAGCCAGTCCAAAGTCACAGTATTTGGGATTATACCCAAGATTCTTAAGCCAACTCTTAGGCTAGGAATTTAAACCCTGGGAGGTTGAATGGATCAGGCATAGGTAAGAAATCAGGTTAGGATAGCATAGAAGAAAGCAATGAAAAGGTATGAGATGCAGAAGTCCTGGGTGTCGCTATCCATGCCCCATTTGGGAAACACTAGTGCCAGCAAATGGTTCAGGGATCAAAGCAGGTTTGGAGGTAGATGGTGTCTACCATTCATCTGTGGCCAGATGGCCCCACTCATCCTGGGTCCTTCCCACTTTCCTGCCAGTATCTAGAGATCAAAACTCAACCTTCTCCAACATTCTGCAACCGGCCTCTTTAATGCCAAGATCAAAGGGAACTTTTGACCAAGTTGTAAAAGAGAAATCAAGAGGCAACTTAACACAGTCTCTGCCTCCTCTGTACTTCCTGGGGAGGATTAAGGGCACTCTTCTAAAGGGACTCCTCAGAGAGACACATTTAACCACAGTTTGAGGTTAGCATCTCAGTTCCAAGGACACAGTGGCTCCCTCAGAGTATATGCCAACTGGGGCAACTCCAGAGATCAGACAGACTACACCATCAACACAAGATAACAACTTAGAAAGATCACAGGGACTATGATTATGCAAAAGAAAAAATAAATCTTTTTGTTTTACAGGCACATTAGCAAAAGTCACCTTATAGGCAAGTACTAGACCACAGAATTTTCAACTTGGAATTTAGAAACCATGAAGTCCAAATCTCAATTTCATATGTGACACATGGAAAACAGACCAAGAAAGCCAAAGGAATTTGCTCAAGCTATGCATTGAATCAGTAGCAGTACTCCTAGCCAGTGCTCATTCTTCTATGCCCACTGATGCCCAGCCATACATGAGGTCCAGAGGAGACAGCAGCTTTGCACACAGGTGGCCGGGGCAGAGTCAAGGCCTCCTACCTCCTGCTCAGGACTCCCATCTAGCTGCCCTATGGTTAGTACCAGATTCCACCATTAAAAACCTGTGCCTTTGACTGGGACTGGGGGCACTGCCTCCACCAGCTCAAAGCAATCTTATGTTTGGGTACCGGGGATCAAACTTCGGTCCTTGGGCTTGCCAGGCAGGCAGTGTAACCACTGAGCTAAAAATCCCTGGCCCCATCTCAAAGGAATCTTGATGTTATTCAGTCCTTCCTTTGCCTGTAGACTGGGTTAAACCCAAGTAACCACAAAACTATGTGAACTGACCCAGTAACTAACCCAAGAAAATTGAAAAGGTATTCATTTAACAACTTTGATGAATGTTCACATCAGCATTATAATTAACAGCCAAAAAGTGAGAACAATCTCATTGATGAATGGACAATTTGTGGTCTAGCCATACAATGGAATACTATTTGGCCATAGAAAGGAATGAAGCACTGATACATGCTACAACATGGATAAACTTTAAAAACATGCAAGTAGGGCCGGGGATTTAGCTTGGTGGTGCTACTGACTGCCTCGCAAGCACAAGGTTCTGAGTTCAATCCCTGGTACCAAAACAAAGCAAAACATGCAAGTAAAAGAAGCCAGACACAAAAGATCACATATTGTATTCCCTTTATATACAAGGTCCAGAAAAGGCAAATCCACAGAGAAAGTAAATTAGTGTTGTCATGGGTGGGAAGAGGAGAACAGGAGTGACTGCTAATGTTTCTTATTAGGGTGATGAAAATGCTCTGGAATTGGTAGTGCTGGTTGTTTAACCATCCGAGTTTAGTAAAAATCCATAAATTGTATATTTTAAAGGGTAAATTTTACAGTATATGCATTATAATCATTTAAAAAAAACAAGAACCAAAACAGTGTGAGAGGATACATATGAGAGTATAGTTTATTCTCTAAACTGAAATTTCTAGATTCATGGACTCAATATACATTTCCCAGGTGCCACCATAAAACAGTAATATTCTCAAAGCAATTTCTCATAAATAGTAAGATATGAGCCTGCTTCTCAATTCAGACCCAGCCTGATTACACCTGTATCTTGTAACTATATACAGTAGTCTAAACAGTCCAAGGCAGGAGGAAGGTAAGAAAAATAAGAACTTCAGTTTACATCAGCTACCATCTCCTCTGGTGGGAAAGAAGTCTTGCTCTGCAGGTCCAAGAAATACCCACTATGCTAACTAGACCTGGCAGGTAGCAGCACAGCCCTTGAGGAAGAGCCATTCACCAAGCTGACAGAGAGAGGGAAAAGCCCTTGAAATGTGTACCAACAAATCTTACTTTCAAAACAGAGGAAAAAAACAAAACCCCAGCCTTTTCCCATGGCCACTGAATCCAGTAGTTCAGTTCCTCTTTCATTGTACAACTTGCCTCAGAAACCCATACACCCCAAATTAGATCTACATACCGCACCCCTTTGGTTGTGAAATAGCTGAGGAGTATGAGAGTATGGGGACCACTCTGACTTCCAAGTAATAAAGTGCTCAACACAGACCAAACTCATGTTTGTGACTCCACATTGCCTGGTACACAAATACTCTGTATTCAACTTGCTTCCTTGCTTTTTCACTGATGCATTGAACATGCAGCTGCTCATAAGCACCCTTTTCATGGCCTCTGTACCCACCACACCATACATATCACACACTGTTTCTTTTCTTTTCGAGACAGGGTCTCACTATGTAACCTAGGCTCGCCTCAAACTCCAGATCCTCCTGTCTCAGCCTCCCAAGAGCAGGGATTACAGGTGTGTGCCACCATACTAGGCTTCACATACTCTGTTTACTGAAATTAGTTACTGTTTTCAGCATGGAAGCAAAGTATAATATCCCTAAGTAGCACAATACACAATCATTGTGCTTTCTATTGTGCTTAGAATAAAATCCACACTTCTTTCCACAGACTGTCTGGAGTATGAGGACAAGCTGGCTTCCCTATCGGATTGTCCTAGAGGGAAATAGAAATCAAACAGCCAAACTGAACAGTCCAGAAGGTATTTCAAAATGCAGTCCAGAGCCTACAGCTTCTAGAAACAGTTGCTCTTGGCCCTTTTTCAATTTCATCTTGTATCATTCCCTTATTCTGCCCCCAGCTCCAGCACCCACATGCTTTGGCCCCTCTAGTCTTCTGCAGTGTTCCCCAAATGTATCAAGCTTTCTGTTATCTTGACCTTCGTAATTTCCCATTTCCTCTGCCCAAAACTCTTTGTATGGCTGGCTCTTTCTTGTCAACCAAGTCTCCACTCAGTCCCAAATACAGTAATTGTGTCACCCAGTCATGGCCAATCACCATGACTTCACCTTGTTGTCTTCACAGCACTTCACACTGACATTCTTTTATTCATGTACTACTTGTTCACTTCCTATCTTTTCAGCCTATAAAAGCTCCACAAAAGTAGGGACCTTGACCCTCAAATTCACAACTACATCTCTACTTCTTATTCCTCAAAAAAGAGTAGGCAGTCAAAAATTTGCTAATTAGCTGGGTGTGGTGGTGCACACCTGTAATTCTAGCATTCAGGGGGCTGAGGTAGGAGGAGCTCCGTAAGTTCAAGGCCACCCTGGGCTGAATAGTGAGTTCAATGCCAGTCTGAACTACACAGCAAGACCCTGTCTCCAAAAGAAAAAAGAAAAAATTGCTGATGAAATAAATGTGCAGCAGGAATATGTATTGCTAGCTTAATAACCTTTTAAAAATATCTGAAGAGGGGCTGGGGATTTAGCTCAGTGGTTCTGCCACCTGCCTTGCAAGTGCAAGGACCTGAGTTTGATTCCCAGTGCCAAAAAAAAAAAAAAAAAATCGAACAACTTGGGCCAGGGATTTAGCTCAGTGGTTTCAATGCCCGCTGTGCAAGCGCAAGGACCTGAGTTCAATATCCAGTACCAAAAAAAAAAAAATCTCTGAAGAGGGCAGGAGTTTCACAGCGCAATGCTATAAATGCTACATTATTGAACTTTTTCCCTATGGTAAGAGGGTGTGACTTCCTATTAAATTCTTACATCATCTTTGTTCTAAATATGGTAAAGGAAAAAATGGGTTTCAACGTATTATTCTGGGGATTTGCCCCACTCATGGTTCAGGCTAAAGTCTGAGACTAGAAATCAAGTACCAGAAAGGTGTAAATTAAAAAGAATTTTTTGGGAGGTGGTATTGGGGACCAAACCCAAGACCTCACATGTGGCAGGCAAGTGCTCTACCACTGAGCTATACTCCCAGTCCCAGGCTGTGAAATCTTTCTTCACTTAACAAAGCAAAATCAACAGTCAATTGACATAAGGAGGAAAGCCATTATCAGTCAATAACCAACCCATTTGGAGAAAACAAATACCAAAGAATTTAAGCAAGAATCTTCCTTTGCTTAAATTCAAATGTCACATCTTTTTTTTTTTTGGTACTGGGAATCGAACTCAGGGCCTTGTGCTTGCCAGGCAGGCGCTGTGCCGCTGAGCTACATCCCCAGCCCCTGTCACATCTTTTTCTGTGTCTCGTCATTCATTCCTAGATAAAATTCTGCTGAGGAAGCAATTCCCAGGAAGATTCAGGAAATCTCTTTGGGCTAAATGACTTCAATTTTAGTTCTGGTCTCTTGACAAGTAGAATGTGAGCTGAACTTCTAGAAGAAAGGACAGTCTTTTAAAGATTTACTTCCAGGGCTCTGTAAAAAAGCCAGAAAGTTCACCCTCCAAGCAGTCTTCTACTTCCATCCTCATACACACACACACACACACACACACACACACACACACTCCATCCTAAGGAGCCTCATCATGAGCCTTCATCCCTAAGATGCTATGTGGCCCTGTGGAGGCATGAGAAGGGAGGTAGCCAGGAACGGGTAGAAGTGTTTTTCAAACCGTAGTTCACAGACTACCTCCCTCATAGTCACTGGACTGCTTAAAAAAGTGTACACCAATGCTACGGAATTATAATCCTTGAGTGAGGCTCAGCAAACTGCATTTTATCATGTCTCCGCACAACCTAAGATTCTTATGGACAGTAAAGTATGAGAATCAATGGGATAAAAAGACCCTAGGAGAGAGGCAACGAGTTGAAAGAGAAAAGACAGGGAGTAGGAAAGGCTCTGGGGATGGAAGATGGGCTGGGTATGCTCTGGGATAGTGGCAGTCCAGAGGGGCGCACGATGGGAGCAGGAAAGGGTGGAGGTGAGGACACGGCTTGAGCTAGGAGGCTGGTCAGAGGTGAGATCGCCTCCAAGCACTGGTCAGAATAGTGGGGAGGCGGGGAGAGCAGGGGCTGGACGTGAAGAGGAGGAGCAAGGGCGGAAAGAGTTGGGGTGGGGTGTTGTTTGAAGGGATTAGGGCTGGGAGGTGAAAATTAGGAAAATGGAGCTACAGGGGGCGGGGACCAAAGTAGGAATGGGAACTGGCGGAGACAGGAGCCGAAGAATTTCTCCGAAACGGCGCTTCCCCTGAAACTCCTGGCCTTGACAAGCCTGAGTGCGAGGCCGGGGAGGGGTATTTTGAGGGAAGCGAGCCAGTCAGGGGTGACCTGAGGAGGGGTCCTGGAGGTGCCTGGGGACCAGGCAAGGGGCGCCGGAAGGTCCTGGGATATCCAGGCGGGCCCTGCTTCAGCTCCAGCTCCCAGAGTGTCCTTCACTCACCATCGCCGCCGCCATCTTGGATCCACGTGTCGCCGTGATGACGTCACGGAAGTGGTGCTTCCCTGGTTACGAACTAACTCCGAGAGGTGGTCGCCCTGCTGCAGTGATCATGTAGTCGCAGTCATCGGAGAGTCGAAGGTTATTTAACTTCTGCTCGACACCTTGAGTTAGGTAGTCAGGTCCCGGATTTGGCGAAGAGAGACGATAGTGTAACTACTGGAACCATATTAGCTCCTGGCAGAGAACGCCCCTCCCCTACTGTCACTGCCCTCTGGGTAATGGGGGGTGTGTGAAACATGCTTACTCTCTGGGCGCCATCTTTACTATTGGCAGAAAAACCCGTTGCCGGGGTTACCGGGGACCTTGATATGGAGGAGAGTGATTGGCACCTGGGCTCCCACAGCTGCAAGACTCTGAGAATAATTTTTAATTATATATTTACTTGGCTATCCTATATCCTCTCTAATATACTGTAGTCTTTATGAGGGTAGGATCCTGTCTTTTATTTTACCTTTTTCTGCCTCATGTTATTTGTAAAATTGGGAAGGGATTATTATATTACCTACATCATAGGCTTATGATGAGGAGTCAATGACATAATATTACGTAGGATATATTTAATAAACAGTTGTCACTATATGCTTATATATACTCCAGGCATATGATAGGTGCACAAAACAGTACATTATGAATGTGAAAAGCACTATATTTAGTGAAGGGAGACATCTTTGAGAGCTCGTTTGGAGGTTCTAGCAGGGGAGCGCAGCTACTCGTATACCCTTGACCGAGGAAACGGACCTCCTCTATGGGGGTGGTCGTCCTCTTCGACCGAGCGCGCAGCAGCTTCGGGAGGGACGTACATGGAGCGGTGAGGGAGGAAGGGGACATCCGCCTAGCCAGCCAGATCAGCCTAATCAACCCTGGCGATCAATGGGGTGACATGTCGCAGCCAGATCGCCCTCACATCCGAGACATCTTTGAATGTAGGCTTCACTATGATAACTAGTAAGTGTGTGACTTTAGGTAAATCACTCAAACTTCCTAAGCCTCAGTTTCCATGGTAAGAAAAGACTCAGACAATCATGGTATGAAGATTGGGAAAGACCTTAAAGTTCGTTTGGTCCCTGTATATCATTGTAAACTGGATACCCCTGCTATCTTCTCAGACTGTTTAAAAAAATTGATAAAAGAATAATCATGTTTAATAATAATAATAATCTGTACTTACAAAACATTTGTTATGTGCTGTACCATTTTGCATTATGCTAAAATGGTTCTTAAAGCTCTTAGTTATCTAATTCTACCTTTTGGCAATGGACAATTGAACTCTAATACCCACATATGAGCACTCTGCAAAGATAGCTACCAACAAGCCCTCTCATCTTCGTTGAGCATACTGTTTCATCTGCCAAAAGGTAGACTACTCTCCTTTTGAATATGGTGGGACAGATCTTTTTTTTTTTTTTTTTTTTTCGGTACCAGGGTTCGAACTTGGGACCTTACGCTTTTGAAGCAGGCAGTGGAACCACTGAACTAAATCCCTGGCCCCATAGATCATTTTCTTTGATCAATGTGGCACAAGTGACTGCTAGTTCTTGGTATAAACCTTGTGAGGCTTGGCAGCTTGTGCTTCCAACTCTCTAGGGTGAAAAGAAGTCTGGCTGCCCTGCTGGAGAGCCCCATGGAGAGATGCTGAGACCCAGTCAATGCCCCAAGACATTCTAGAAACTCCAGCTGAGCACTACATATGAGTGATATCATCTTAGACATTCCAACCCCAGCTGAGCTATCAACTAAATAGAGCCACAGGAATAACCTCAACAACATTATGCGGAACAAATGTCTACCCAGCTGAGCCTAGTTGTTTTAGATTTGGGGATGGTTTAGTACAGTAATAGATAACTGAAACATACCTGTAAAAGTTTTTTGTTTGTTTGTTTGTTTGTTTTGAGACAGGGTCTTGCTATGTATTCTAGGCTGGCCTTAAACTCATTACATCACCCAGGCTGGCCTCAAACTCATGGAGATCCTCCTGCCTCAGTCTCCTGAGTGCTGGGATTACAGGTGTGCACCATCACACCGGGTGATATGCATAAACTGTTATGACCTACACAACCATCCTAAACAGTAGCAAGTCAGATGCTGTCCCCAAGGGAGAAGAAGCTTAAATGATAGAAGGGATTTGCCAGCCTCACAGTTAAAGCCAGATTCCAGACTTCTAACCAGTTCTAGAAGTTGGTACTGGATGTATCTTACCATTTCTGGGTGCTTGAAGAGGAATGACAAAGAACAAAGCTTCATAAATGGCATATTATTCCTCAATATTTCCATTTTTCCTTCTCATGTTTCATATTTCCCCAATGGGCCTCCATGTCCAGGTGTCCATCTGACATAAACCAGAATCCTGGAGCTAAATTGTCTTGTTTCTAATCCACTATTCACTATCGCTCATGAGCTCCACAACATGGGCATGTTTCTTTTAACTTTTTATTGTGGTACAATATATACTTATCACTTTGGTCATTTTTAAATGTATGATAGGAACATTGTTAAATGTTGAGCTACTACAAATCTCTTCCCAGCTCTGTGCTCAGCATCATTGGGTTGGTAGCAGGGCCAGCTTACCCATGAAGGTGGGTGGCAAAGTGCACAAGAACCCCCCATACTCGCTGCCTACATACTTGTGAAAAAATGTTTCAAGGAAATTAACTTCTCCTCCTCCTCTTTCTCCTAGTGCTGGGGATTGAATTCATGCTAGGTAAGTGTTCTTCCACTGAGCTACACTCTCAGCTTCTAATTTCTTTTAAGATCAGAAGTAAAAAATTAACTTTACATTGAAGAAAATGTTTTAATATATTATAATAATATATTCACCTTTGTATCAATGTACTGTAACTATCATTTATATTTAATATAAATATATACTTGTGAGTATGTCTTATTCATTTATAAACATAAAATTTTATATTCTGTATGTGTATGTTTGTATTATGGAGGAGACCCATGAAAGTCATAATGTAGCTCCGATTGGTAGTTTGAAATTGGCAATGGTGGGAATGTTTACAAAAATCAGCAAATGTTGCAAATCAGGGCTAGAAATTTTGTTTTGTTAACAAGATTTTCCTGTAAGGAGCCAGGTAAATAGTTTATATGTAGTAAATAGTTAGACGTTGCTTCCCATATGATGGTGTCACTACTAATCAACTTAGTCATCGTAGTACTAAAGTAGCTGCAGACAAGGCATAAATAGTAGGTGTGGCTGTTCCCAGTACAATGTAGTTTGCCAAAGCTGCTCTAGACTTAAAGTGATGGAGAAAACTGTTAGTATTATAGATTACATTTCACTACATGTAATGTCTGTAGCTGTTACATTATGACTGGCACAAAAATAAGACTCTATTTGAAACTCTTACCCTATTCAGCAAAGTTGTTGGTCACATTGATGAATGAGTCAAGTTTCCATACAAGTCTCCATTATTTCCTGTAGGAACTGTGCTTGGAAAGGGAATATTGTCAAGAAAGTTACCACTGTGGGTTACCAAAGCTTAATCCTGTGAGGAAACTCTGGGAAATGATGCAAGACACTTGCCTCAGTTATCCCACCTGGGGGAAAGGAGTGGGAGTCATTAACTGAGGATTGCTCCCTGTGGGTGTTAATTGTTTGGCACTTTCACCCTTCTGGTAACAATGGCAGCTCAGACTTTTTGTAGTTTTAGGAAGAAAAAAAAAAAAGCCCCCAGGCGCAGTGGTGCAGATAATGGCAGCACAGAGTCCAGCCCACTCTAAGGGACCTGATCTCTGACAGTGCATGTCACACCCTCTGAGGCAAATGGCTGAAGGAGGACTGGCAGCTCTTCCTGAGAGTCTAATATGGCAGCTGGAGCTCCAGCCTTCACATGCACATTCTAGGCAGTGAGGTAAGGGAAGAGATAAAAAGAGGTAAAGAGCCTATACCAGTCATCTGTTAGAAGATTTCCTGGAAGCTGCTACAACACACTTCCACCTACAAACCGTTAATCAGAGCTTAATTACATGGCTACATTTTGCTGCAAGAAAGAGTGGAAAGGGCTGGGGATTTGGCTCAGTGGTTCCACTACCTGCCTCGAAAGTGCAAGGTGCCAAGTTTGATCCCCAGTACCAAAAAATAAAAAATAAAAATAAAAAAAATGCCCATGCCGGTGATTTAGCCCAGTGGTTCTGCCACCTGCCCTGCAAGCACAAGGGCCCGCCGAGTTCGATCCCTGGTACCAAAACAAAAAAAAAAAGAGTGGGAAGTGTAGCCTCCATTCTAGGGGGTCATGTGCCCCTGAGAAATTCTGTTGCTCTAGAAGAAGGGGAAATATGTATATGGAGACAAGTGGTGGTCACTGCCACCCCCAAAAGGGCAGGAATGCAAAGAGAATGCAAATTGCTAGAGCCCTCTGTCAGAATATACTGTGATGGGGGAAGACACATGACAAAATTGAGGGCTAGGTAGGGGGATAAGGAGACAGTTTTATTCCAAGTGATAGGGAAAGGTGAAAGAAATGCTTTCCCTTCATTTAAACTCAATGCCATATCCAGGACTGGGTCAAAGCAGGTCATTTGTGCCTTAGAACGAAAGGTCTTTGCCTTCCTTTTCCACTCCAGGGGAGGAGTGCATGCAGATGGGTAACAAAAAATATATCCCCGTGGGTTTTGTTTTTGGTTGACTTTTAAAGAGCAGCACTGTGGTTTGACTATGTTCCCCAAAGTTCATGTGTTGAAAACCTAATCCCCAGCTCTCATTGTTTGTAGGAATGCAAATGGTAATTATGAATAAAGCTTCTGTGAACATCTGTGTGCTGGGTTTTGTATGAATATAAATTTTCAACTCCGATCCATAAATACCAACGAGCACAATGCTGGATCATATGGTAAGGCTGTGTTCTTGTGAGAAGCCACCGAGTGTCTTCTGTACCATTTTGCTTCCTATCAGCAGTGAGTTCCTGTTGCTCTACATCTTTGTCAGCATTTGGTGTCATCAGGTTTTTTTGGATCTTAGTCACTCTTAAGTGTGTCATTGTCATTTCAATTTGCATTTCCCTAGTGACACAGACTGTGGAGTATCTTCCATATGCTTATTTGCTATGTGTATACTATACCTCCTTTGGTGAGGTGTCTTTTCAGATCCTTTGCCTGTTTTTAAATTGAGTTGTTTTCTGACTGCTGAGTTTTAAGAGTTCTTTGTGTATTTTGGACATCAGTCTTTCATCAGGTAAATATTTTGCAAATATTTTCTCCAAGTTTGGGGTTTGTCTTTTTGTTTCTTAACAATGTCCTTTGTGGAGACAATTTTTTAATTTTAATGAAGTTAATTTTTTTTTTTTTTGATACTGGGGATTGAACTTAGGACCTTGCGCTTTCAAGGCAGGTGCAGTGCCACTGAGCTAAATCCTCAGCCCTAAAAAGATTTTTTTGAGATGGGTCTTTCTTACCCAGTCTGGCCTCAAACTCCTGAGCTCAAGGGATCTTCCTGGACTTGGGTTAATTTGTTCTTTCATGGATCATGCTTTTTGGCGTTATATCTATTCTCATTTTTTCACCTGTTTTTTCTGTGACCAAATCAGTGTTGACTGAAAGAAGAGAGCAGGAATTACCTCTTTGACTTTGTCTATATATCAATAGTCCCCCAATTCCTGATACCATGCTTCACCCAGTTATCACTATAATTTTATATAACAAAATCATGGAATTCAAAGACTTATTATTTATTTAGGTTCTTTTTGGATGGTCTTATATGTAGTTCAGGCTGGCCTTGAATTCACTATGTAGTTCAAGCTGACCTCAAATTGAGTGCTGGGATTACAGGCATGTGCCACCATACTTGGCTCAAAGGAGTATAACAGTCAGCACTTACTTCTCTTTCACATGTCCACAGGTCAGCTGGAGATTTAGTGCCAATCTGCTGGTTGGGTCCAGATGTTTTTCACTTGTCACTCACCTTCTTTGGGCCATGTTCTTTTAGGGCAAAAGGCTAGAGGGCAAGCCCGGTCCCATAAACACATTGCAAGCCTTGGTTTGCATCACATCTGGTAACATATTATTGGCCAAGCTGAATAGTAACACAACAACCCCAGATCGTGAGGGCAGATTCCCAGCGCAAGACCCTAGGCTTTGCTTTCAGATTTTCAAAGATACATCCCAAACCAAAAAGCAAGACAAATTAAGTTACTGATGATAAGTTGTGATATTATGAGATATATGTGTATATAAATATAGCTATCCAAGGTGAGTCATAAAAACTCTAATCTTTTCCACTGCCTTTCTGTATGGAGCAGGCCATAAACTGATTTGTTTGATAGTAGGTGATAAGATCCTCCTTTCTCCAGTGAGATCTATAAACAAAAAAATAAATATAGAGGCCTTGTTGGATTTTCCCACCCAATATATTAGCAATCATGCCTATGTGAGAAAGTCTCCATAAAAAACTAAGCAGACAGAATCAGCACTTCCAAGATAGTTGAACACATGGAGCTTTCTGGAGGGCAGTAGGTTCAGAGAGCATGGAAGCTCTACATCCCTTCTTCTAACCAATATCCTTTATAATAAACCAATAAAACCTAAGTATTTCCCTGAATTCTGTGAGCTTTTTGAATACATTAATGAAACCCAGGGATAGGCTATGAGAACCCCAAATTATGACACATTAGTCAGAAATACAAGTTAAACAACCTGGGGCTTACAACTGGCATCTAAATGGGGAGGGGGATTTGGAGACTGAGCCCTCAACTTGTAATATTGGATACCATGTCCAGGTAGCTAGTGTCAGAACTGAATAAGATTAGAGGACACCCAGCTAGTGTTCCCTGCTGCAGAACATCTTGCTTGCTGATGGTTAGAAGTCCTCACACCTTCTGGGGTCACAAAAATCTGTGTTGATTTGGTATGAAGACAAAAGAAACACAACACTTTGTTTCCTAGACACACATAAGTTAAAAGACTGCTAGTTTAAATTTCCACTGCTCTTGTACTCAGTACCCCCTGTGTTATTGAGGGGTACAGAATCAATTTAGTAGATACTGGGTTCTAGGTGACCCTAGGTAGATAATATTCACTGTGACAAAAATACCTGGGAAAATCAATTTAAAAAGAGGAAAGATTTATTTTGGCTCACAGCTTCAGAGGTTTCAGGCCATGGTTCCTTGACCCTGTTGCTTTGGCCTGTGGGAGGCAGAGCTTCATGGGGGACACACATGGAAGAGGACACTGCTTACCTCATGGTGGCCAGGAAGCAGAGAGAAAGGAAGGGCCCAGGGTTCCAATATCCCTTTCAAGGGCATGCCCTTAATGACTTACTCCCTGCAACTAGGCTCCACCTTCTAGTTGCTACCACCTTCCAATAGACCGTTAAAACTGTGAATCTGTAAATGAATTAATCCATTCATGAGATCAGAATCTTCGTGATCTAATTACCTTCCAAAAGCCCCACCCATGAATCCTGCTGGATCAGGGACCAAGCCCTCAACACATGAGCATTCAGGGAACATTTTAGATCCGAACCTAAACAGGGGTGCTGAGATACAGACCCCTCTCAGAGGATGCAATAATATAGAAAAGTGTCATTGTCTACCTCCTCTTATCTTTCCCCTATAGCGAAAGCTAACTGCCAGAAACATCCAGCTGAGGCAACATGCAGGAAGGCAACTGCCTGCTTATGTCCTCTGCTTCCTAACAGGTGTCCCTCTCCTTCACTGACAGCTTCCCACACCATATATCTCTCAGCAGCCACAACCCCAGATCCTGAGGAGCCCTCCAATACCATCTTAACCATGCTGGCTGCTTGGCCATGGGAAGTGCCAGGGCTGCAGAGGGAGATCTAGACAACCAGCTCTTGTAACAGCATGGCCTGGCAGGAGAATCAGGGCATCCTGGCAGCCCTAGATTCTGGGAGGCAAAACCATGTATACCACGTATACATGTATCCCAGTATACCATGACTGTCAAAGATGTTCATGTCCTGACCCTTAGAAACTGTGCAAATGTTATCTTACATGGCAAAAAGGACTTTGCAAATGAATTAAGGACTTTGAGATGGAAAAATTATTCTGGGTTATCTGGGGGAGTCCAATGAAATTATAGGAACTCTTACAAGTTAAAGAGGAAGCAGGAGACTCAGAACCACAAATATGATGAGAGAAGCAATGTTTGGGGTGATAAGCAGAAGGGGACCATGAGTCCAGGAGTGTGGACGGTCTCTAGAAGCCGGGAAAAACAAGGAAATAATTCTCCCGTACAGCCTCCAGAAAGAGTGCATCCCTGGGAAATCATGGCAGACTTTGACTTCTGAAACTTTAAGAGAATAAATTTGTGTGGTTTAAAACCACTGCATTTATGGTCATTTGTTACAGCAGCAATAGGAAACTAATACAGCTAGCAACTATTTTAGGACAGTTACAACATTTTGAGTACTGAAACTTGCTTTTTTCTTCACACCTTGGCCTCTGGGAAGGTCCTTCTTCCTTTCTGATTTGTCATACAGCAAGAAGGCAAATAGATACTTGGGCACTGGAAGGATAGAAAAGCTGACTTTTTGGTAAAGCCTTTGGCATTCTTATATTTTATTTAAATATCTATTACATTATTTAAAAAATTCCCCAGTGAAGCCACAGCTGAAACTGGAATTCAGCCATTCTAGGCAATAGAAATAAACAACTTGGGGTCTCCTGAGAATGGCAGATTGTAGATTGCTAGAGTCCAGAAGAGACTGTCCAGTTGAACCCACCCACTTGACAGATGAAACTGGCTGGAGTAAGAGTGAGTGTCTAGGGATGGGAAAGGTGAATGGGCCTCAGAGAACTGTGCTGGAGCCACTCACAGGCACTGCCTAGGCTCCTGGCTCTGCCCTGGTCCTGCCCATCAAGGCTGTTGTTGGTACTGGCTCTCAGTGGCCGTGTAGAAGTCGTCCAGCACACTCTGGATATACTCGAAGGTGGGCCGCTCCTCTGGACGGTTCTTCCAGCAGCGTGTCATGATGTTGTAGAGCTCCTCTGGGCAGTGATCCGGCCGAGGCATCCGGTACCCATGCTCCAGTGCCCGGATCACCTCTGGGTTGGACATTCCTGGGAAGGAGCCACGGAATTAACAAGAGAGGATTGGGAAATAGGAGCCAAGGCTTGGCAGACACTGTGGTCTCACCAACTGCCATCACTCCCCATCTCACCTTATGAGATGAGCCCCTCTCAGTGTGAAAGCCAGACACCCCCTTTTGCAGCCTCCCTTGCAGCTACAACCTGGCCTGGGACCCAGGTTTGACCAAAAGGAGCTACAGCGGTCTGCTGGGAGATTTCCAGGAAAGGTTTTCCCCCATGACTAAAAGAGAGACCTGGGGGATACCCTTCCTTCCTTCCTTTGGGTATTGTGAGATGATAAAATAGTTGGAGCAGTCATCTGAACACATGGGAAAGATAATCATAGAGAAACTGATAGCTGTTCTGGTGTTGGATGAACCAGCTACCAATGCCAGACTTAGGATGCGAAACAGTAACTTGCCTATTGTTTTGGCCACTCTTATTTTGTTATTTTTGTTACTTATAGTCTGATGCATCTGGATAGATTCAGGGTTCTATAATCCATTGCCTGGTTTTTACTAGTGTACTCACAAAACAAAACAGGTAGCAAGACCCAAGATTACTCTACAAGTGGGACCATTTTCTTGTTCAATTTAAGTTTATATTAGTTATCCACAAGAATAACCGTTAAGTGCCTGTGATCCCCAATCTATCTGCCTTGAACTCCAAACTAATGTATTCAAGTGCTTTCTTAAACATTTTTGTTTGGATGTCCATATGTCACCTCAAATTTAACAGGGCTAAAACAACTCTTGGCTTTTCACTGCTCTATCAAAGCCAGGATAACCATCCTTGATTTCTCTCTCCCTCACCTTCTCCATCAGCAAGTCACATCTTTTCTTTTTTTTTGAAAGGTAGCATCAGTTTATCAACTCATCTCTGTCACCAATGCCACCTCCCTGTGTAAGCCACCATCATCTCTGCCTGGCCACCTCTGTGGCTGCCTCACAGGTGGCCCCCCATCCCCTCCTCCCATCCACACTGACCCAAGCACCCCTTAAAGGCAGAAATCAGATGATGCCTCTTCCCATCATCTGCCCACATCCCTCCCATAGGTTCCCATTTACTTTGGCTAACATCCTACTTTGCACCATAACCCTGGGCCCTGCCTGTCCAATCCCTACTGACTTTCTTACCTATCATCTGCTCTTGTTCTTTGTCTCAAGGTACCTGGCTTTCTTGCTATTCTTCAGACACACCTGAGGCCCCATGAACAAGCAATGCCTTCTTCCTGAGCTCCTCTTTCTGGATCTGTCTTACAGTTCAAATAGGACCTGCTCTGAATGGTGCTCCCTGTCCACAGGAGCCTATGTTACTCTCTCTCTCACACAGCCCTGTTTAATGTTCTTCTCAGCAGTGATCTCTGTTTAGTGTGTGCTCCTCTAGGTCTCCTTATAAGCAGGAACCACTTCTCTCACTGTACCCTCATACAGTACTTAATGCACAGTAAGAATTCAACATATAGGGTCAGGGATTTAGCTCAGTGGTGCAGCGCCTGCCTCATAAGCGCAAAGTCCTGAGTTTGATCCCTGGTATCCCCTCCCTGCCAAAAGAATTCAACAAATGCTGTTGAATGAAGCCAGTGCCTACGTGTTTTAGTTCTAATCCTCACAAACACCTTTTGGAGGTAGATAGTTGTCTATATATTTTTGTTTACAGGTGAAGACACTGGGGTAGGGGGAGTAAAGTGAATTTCTCAAAGTTTATTAGCTGATAGAGACAAGATTCAAATTTGGAGGTGCTTACATAAAAATTCAGGGGCTCTTAGGGCCAGGGATTTAGCTCAGTGGTTTCACTGCCTGCCTCAAAAGCTCAAGGTCCCAAGTTTGATCCCTGGTACCAAAAAAAAAATTGCTCCAAAATTCAGGGGCTCTTTATATCTATCTTGCTCCTCTCTAGTGTCTGGCTAGCTACCCATTCAAGCCATAAAAGGAACAGAGATCCTCATTGTGCACAGAGTTCCGGGTAATCCACATACTGGGTATAGCTTTGTATACACATATGGTCTACTCAGTGTAGGCACTTCCTATATTAGGACTGGGTTACATTCATTCAATAAAGAGTTGCTAAGCACCCACTATGTACAAACATGATTTCTGGCCCTCTGAAGTTCAGAGTCTGATGGGGAAATTATTAAACAAATATAGAGCTATCAATTGTGCTAAATGCCATGAATGAAAGAGCATAGGTTATTATGGAAGAGTATCACAGGGGAGAAGCTTGGTACTTTAGGTATCTGGGTGGTAAGGGGCAGCTGGAAGCTGGAGAAGGAGGCAGAGGCTAGGTCATGTGGTATCTGCACATAGCTATATGAGTGTTGGGGATTTTGTCCTAATTACAATGGGACATCATTAAAGAAAAGTGGAGAAGGGACATGATCTGATTCACAGATTAGAAAAAAATCCCTTTGGCTGCAGGTGGAGAATGGCTGCAGGAGAGAAAGGGAGAAAGAGAGACACTGATTAAGAGATTACACACCACACCATCCACGTGCAAGATGTTGTTGGCCTTCATGTGAGTGGAGGCCGTGAGTTAGACAGGGGCATACACGGAATATTTTGGAGTTGAATGTGAGAACTTTGTGACTGCTAGGATGTAGTAAAGAGTGAGAGAGAATGAAGGACCAAGGAGGCTCCCAGAGTGCTGGCTTAAGAAATTGGGTGGATGATGGTACCTTTAACTGAAAACTAGAAGGAAAGTCAAAGAGGGGAGGAATAAGAACTCAGTTTGATGGACACATTGACAAGGTGGACCATTGCCAGGGTAGGTTCTAGAAGCAGCTCCAAGTTGATGGCCCTTCCCTTACCTGGGTAAGGGATCCGGCCATAGGTGACAATCTCCATCAGCAGGATGCCAAAGGACCAGACGTCAGACTTGATGGTGAAGGAGCCAAAGTTGATGGCTTCAGGAGCCGTCCACTTGATGGGGAACTTGGCCCCTGCAGGGTTGGACAGGGCAAGGTGAGGGGAGTCTGGGGAGCAGTCAGGGTGGGCTCTCTGCTAGGGTGAAGAAACAGGGCCGAATCATGATTTCCCTGCAGCATGGCCTCTCTGTGAAAGCAAGGGGCATCCATGCTGTAGACAGATGGCTAAGGTGGGGAGGGATCACAAAGGGGCATGGCATGGGAGCTCACTCTGGGGGGCCAGCTCATTAGTTCAGTAGATACCCCATGAACTATAATTGGAGGAGTGAAGTCCTAGAGATCACAGACTCTTTGGGGGACAGAAAGACTTTGGGGAGTATCAGCTAGTGCCTCAGTTACTTTATCTTGGTAATGGGGGAAGGGAGGACTTCACCTCCAGCCTTTGAGGTTTCCACCAATCACTAGATGTCTCCTCCCTTCCTTCTACTGAATCTAGAATAGGTTTGTTAGCCTCTTATTAGTACTTATCCTAATTATATTATGATTGGTGAACATGATCTGTAAGACATACAGATGCTTCTCAATTTATGATGGGATTATATCCTGATAAACCCATCCTAAGTATAAAATGCCATAAATCAAATGCACTGAAACAAAGCATAATAATGTATACCTGTAATCCCAACTACTTAGGAGGCTGAGGCAGGAGGATCACAAGTTTGAGGCCAGCCTATGCAACTTAGTACCTTTCTCAGAATATAAAAGGGCTGGGGATGTAGCTCAGTGGTAGAGTGCTTGCCTAGCATGTGTGAGGTCCTGAGTTCAATCTGCAATACTGGAAAAAAAACTCAAAACACATTGCATTTGCCTAACCTACCAAACAGCCTAGCTTAGCAACACAACACACTGTAAGGTATTGTGATTGTGTGGCTTACTGGGTTCTGTGGCACACTGCTACTGCCCAGCAAGAGAGTAACATGCGTATCACTAGGCTGGAGATGGGATCAAAATTCAAAATTGGAAGTATAGGTTCTCCTAAATGTGATTTCTTTCATAAAGTTGAAAAATCCTAAGTTGAACCATCATAAGTTGGGGTCATCTGTATGTTCTTTGGAATTTGGCAAGATCTGCTTTATGACTCTGTAGTATTGGAAATGCTCTCTGTGTATATATGTTTTCCCTTCCCTTCCTTCTTTTAGATCTAGAGTTTTATTTCCTGCTTATCCTCTCCTGATATGAAATTATACATTCTACTTTTATTCTTTTCATATCCTCAATTTAAACATTTTTGGTGATATGGAGGATTGAACCCAGGGCCTTTGCCCTAAGTTATGTCCTCACACCATTTTCATATTTTTCTTATTTTTTATTTTGTGACAGGGTCTAACTAAATCATTAAGTTGCCCAGGCTGGAGTAGAACTTGAGATCTTCCTCCTCGGCCTCCCAGAGTGCTGGGATTATAGACATGCACTACCCAGTTTAAATTTTTTTATTGAGTTATAACAAACATGAAATAAAGTACACAAACCTGTAACGTACAACTTGATGCATCTTTATATATGTATACACACTAGTAATCCCCATCAGATCAGAACATTTTCACCATTTCGGAAGCCTCCCTTCCAGTCAATACCCCTTCTGACCTCTGTTGCTATAAATGATTTTGTCTATCTTTTTTTCTTTAACAGCTTTATTTGAGATATAGTTCATAGACCACAAAATCCACCCATTTAAAGTGTATAGGGCTGGGGGTTTAGCTCAGTGGTTTCGTCACCTGCTATGCAAGTGCAAGGACCCGAGTTCAATCCCCAGTACCAAAAAAATAAAAAATAAAAAATAAATAAAGTGTACAAAGTGATGACTTTTCAAATATTCACAAAGTTGTAAATTTTAGAATATTTTCACCCCTTCCCCCCCCCAAAAAAAACCCCATAGAAAGAAACCTCATTTCTCCACAACTTCCTGTAGCCCCGTAAACCACTAATCCACTTCCTATCTCTACGGCTCTGCCTATCATGAGCAATTTACATGTGCTTTGTGTTTAGCTTCCACTTAACACGTTTCTGAGGTCCATCCCTACTGTGGTGTACATCAGTACTTCATTCCACTTTATGGCTGAACAGTATTCCATTGTGTGGATGGATATTCCACATTTTGTTTATCTGTTCATCAGTTGATGGACATTAATTAGGGCTGTGCCCATTTTTTTGGCTATTATGAATAATGCTGCTATGAGCTTTCATATACAAGAACTACGACTAGAACTATCCAGCGCCTCCTTTTTTGTCTGACTTTCACGTTGATATTGTGTCTGTGACAGTCACCCACTGACTTGCATGCAACATTGCCATGTGCTTCTGCATTGCTGCATGGTATTATGTTATGTGACTATGCCACAATTTATATCCATCCTGCTGTTTATGGGCATTTGGATTCCTCCAAGTTTTCATCTAGTTTCCATAAAGTTGCTCTTCCCTTAATTTCAGCATGTACTTACTGAAGTCTCAAATTGATCAGTACTTTTCAGTCTGGCCTGAAATTTCCCTCTCAAAGTCACTGGGTGAGATTGAAATCCAAGGCACTGCCCAGGACACCACCGAGCTTACGAATGCAGAGACACTGGGATAGAGCTTGGCCTTCACCAGTCCCGCAGGTATCTGCTCTCAGCACTCACACCCCACCCACATGGACACACGGCCTGCTGGGCACCCCTCCCTACCTTCCCGAGCTGTGTACTCATTGTCCTCAATGACCCGGGCCAGGCCGAAGTCAGCGATCTTACACACCAGCAACGCGGAGACCAAGATGTTGGCAGCTCGGAGGTCTCGGTGAATGTAGTTCCTCTGCTCGATGAAGGCCATGCCTTCTGCAATCTGTATCCAAAACAGAGACATCCTCATCCTCAGACCTGCCTAGCCCATGAGGTTTCCACCCAAGAGCCGAAGAGGAGTGACCTAGTGGGAGAGAACTAGAAACTGTCTGCACCAGCTCCTTTTTTGTCAGAAGGGTCCTGGGGTCAGGCTGGCATTTCTGTCTACCTATCCAGGCTGAAGGGGATCCTCCAGACTTGGCTTAGTTTGGGGGGTTCTCCATAATTACAAAACTTCCAGAGAGTACTCTGAAATGTCCTCAAAGAAAAAGCAGTGGGATTATCTCTCTGGGACACACACACACACCTAGATTCATGTCATATTCTGATCTGTTTTTTACACCTTCCTCATCCCCATGACTGGGTAAAAAGAAAAATTCACTTATTTAACAAAAATGTATAGAGTATCCTGGGGTTGCCAGACATGTGACTTACACAGGAGGTGATCCAGAAAAAGCCTGTTTAGGGGGGACAAGTACTGTACAGAACAGATAGGGCTGGGTAAGAGGACAAGAAGTGTAGAGGAGGAGTCATTATGGTCTCTGTTTTACACAGTCAGAGATACTATTCCTGATCACATGCCAAGAAAACTGTGAATGTCAGCCTCACACCTTGGTTCTAGATTGCTGATCTGGTGCCCCACTCTGCCTCTAAAGTTTCCAGAATCACAGAGTTCTGGAGGGCAGCAGCTGGGTGCAATCTGTTAAGATTATTTGGACAGACTGGGGCAGGAAAGTCAGGACAGACCAAACCAAGGCACTGCCAGGAGGCAGTGGCCAGTGGGTGCCGCACTTGCAAGGAGTGAACAGCAGGGGGCACCCAAGGCAGCAAGAACAGGTCTACACTTGAGAAAAACTTGAAAGTGACTTTGGTCTTCTTTGGAGTAGGGTATGTGGGGAGTGGGGTGAGGCAGAGTCTCTAGGGAGTGTGGGAAAGTTATAAGGTGTCCTTAGACCAATGACTAGCAAAAGTTATTAGGCTGTTGGTAGATAATGTTGTTTGCTTATTATGATACTTAAATACAGCATTTATTGTAATGCTTTTTTTTGGTACTGATTGAAATCGGGACCTTGCACTTGTAAGGCAGGTGGCGGAACCACTGAGCTAAATCCCTGGCTGAACACAGCATTTATTGTGCTTTGGGGCAGGTACTTTTGCTATCAGTTCTCTTTCCATAGGTGAGAAAAATAAAGCTCCGGAAAATAAATAACTGTCCCATAGAAACACAGCTTTTAAACTGTAACTTCACAGTCCTCTCAGAACTAACACTTATCTATTACTCTACTTTATTTTTTCTTCCCCTGTACGGGGATTGAACCCAGGGCACTCTGCTACTGAACCACATCTACCACTTTTTAAATTTTTTATTTTGAGACAGTTTGCCCAGGCTGGCCTTGAACTTGGCAATCCTCCTGCCCCAGCCGCCTGAGAAGCTGAGTATACAGGCATGCACCGCTGCCCCCAGCTTGCCTAGTATTATTTTATGGAGCAGACACTAATGCTGACAGTCATTCTTTTTTAATACTCCCTAGTCCACGCTCCTCTAGTACTGGTTTTCTCATGAGCTCAGTGGGGCAGAGATGACCAACCCTACTGAGGATACAGTAGAGGATAATGAGTAAATGGCTCTGGAGCTACTTCACCCCCTATGCCTCGCTGTTCTCTGGAACAAGGACAATAATACGCCCTGTCTCCAAGGGGTCATGTGAAGATGAATCCTCAAGGCCCACATCAAGGGCTTGGGACAGTGTCTGCCATACAGTACTGACCCTGGTGGTGGCCAGCTGTGCTCTCAACTGGGGAGAGCAGCATGCTGCAGGGTTAAGCACTTGCTCCAAGTCCCACAGCTGGGAGCAACACAAAACCTAAGCCCACATGCTTACAGAGTGCTGCTTCTCCAGGATTTGTCCATGGAATGGGTAATGGGTAGGTTTACAGGATGCAGGGTGGGTCTAAAAACTGAGGCTGATAAGGGAGTTCATGACCACCAAGCAGGTTGCCATGAGGCCAAGTTCTAGAACTTGGGTTGCTTCCAAGAGCATCAGGGAACCTTAGAATCCAAGTTGGCAGGACTTGAAAAGATGTCCCAGTCCAGGGCTCTTCAAACTGGTGCTACTGATGCCTCCATATTGTCTGGGAGGACAAAGGGATGGCCATGTATGAAGCTCTACTCTGCCTCTTTCAATCAGAACTCAGTTTTGATTGACTGATTTTTATGGTACTGGGGATTGAACACAGAGACTTCATACTGAGCTACATCCCCAGGCCTTGTTATATTTTATTTTGAGACAAGGTCTGACTAAATTACAAAGTTGCCAGGCTGGGGTGGAACTTGAGATCCTCCTGCCTCAGCTTCCCAGAGTGCTGGGATTATAGGTGTGTCATGATGCCAGCTATATATATTGGGGCTGGGGATTTACCTCAGTGGCACCGCACCTGCCTTGCAAGTGCAAAGTCCTGAGTTCAATCCCCAATACGGGGCGGGTGGGGGGCGGTGAGAAAAAATATATATAATAGCTACTGTATAAAATCTCATTTGACCAACAGAGTTGTGGCTAAAATACTATTTTTAAACTGGAAAACTACTGCTGTGGTCTGATTCCCTTATTGCATAATGAGGAGACTGAGACTCAGAGAAGGTCTCGGGTAAAGAGAAAGTTGATGATGGGACTGGGGGATCCTTGTGCCACACCTGTCTGTCTAGGCCTGGAAGTGAAGACTAGGTCCCAAGGAGGTTCCTTTCTGTTCCTAGGTTCAGGGTCAACCTTTGCTTCTAAAAGGCCCAGAGCCACTTTCCCTCCCTTGGTTGGTTTCCCCGTATGTGCAATGGGAGAATGGACCTTGCTATAGCCCGTGATCCCTACCCAGCAAGCTTCCTGCTGGTTAGATGGTTATAACTTAGCAATGGGCCAGACTACTATTTCCAAAGGGCCCATTGGAGTGAGACCGCTAGTCTTTTTTTTTTTTTTTTTGTACCAGGGATTGAACTTGGGTCCTTGCGCGGCAAGTAGCGGAACCACTAAGTTAAATCCCTGGCCCCTCGAGACCACTAGTCTTGATTTCCATATGCTTTCAGCATTCCAGACTCTGAAAGTAGAGACCTTTGTCAGCCTTTGTCCATGGCCTTTGAGCCCTGGGATTTGCATACACAAATGAACTCTGCCCTGGGCAGCTCCAGAAGGCCCAGCCTCAGCCCCCACTAGGCTGCAAAGTCGGCTGTGTCACCTCGAGGCTCCCAGCTGACCAGTCCAGCTCCTTTGTTTCCCTGATGGGCTTCAACATAGGCCATTTCTTCCTCTAGTAACCCTTTCCTCTTGTCTTCATCTGCAGAACTTGTACTCATCCTTCAGGGATCAGCCTAGAGGCTACTTCCCCCAGGAAGCCTCCTCTGATTGCTTCTGGGCCATGGCACCCCCATTGCTTCTGCACTCCTGTGTACTCCCCTTTCTTCCCTCACAGGAGAGAAAATGAAAGAGGACAGAAGTGAAAACACTCAGTCCAGGGGTGAGAGAAGCTCTGGGAGAGGGGGAGATGAGGGAGAAATCTGTTTTTTGTAGTATGTGGGATGGAAGCCAGGGCCTCACACATGTTAGGCAAGTGCTCTGCCACCAAGCTACACTTCTAGGCCCACAATGGGTTTTAAGATGTGTTTCTATGATTCCCAGACATGATTTTCTTTCTAGATACTGTGCTCCTTTGATTCTGAGCCAGGGCCACTGGGTGATGATTCTCTAGGGTCAGTTCTTTAGTACCTGTCGACCCGCCTGGATGGCAAACTCTACAAGGACAGTAATGGTTTCCATTTCACTCACTGGTGCTTTCCCATAATTAGCACAGCAACTCAGCCAAGCCACTTAGCCTCACTGGCCTCAATTTCCTCATCTGTACTTAACTTCACTGTGCCTCCATTTCCTATTCTGGGGAAAATGGGATGGCAGTTACCTTCCTGTGGCCAGGCTCTTAAATGGGGGCACTTGCTGAGCTGTGGCTCCCTGGATTCATGCCCTGGGGCTGTCCCTTCCCACACTGATGCTGGGCTTGGCCATGTGACTTTCTCTGCTCAATAGGACATCAGTAAGCCTGATGCCAACAGAGGCGAAGTGCTTGCATGCTAAGGCCTGGCTCCCTGATGCAGCTCTTCTTTGTGCAATGCTATAAGAAGAGCTCCTGTCTAGTGAGGGATGAGGGCCTCGTGGAGCAAGATCCTGGAGGATGAGATAGCACTGCAGAATGTACCCGGTCACTTCCTGTCACCATGTGGTTGACCCAGCCAGGTGCAGTCAATGCACAAGAGCACGAGAAATGCTCCTTGTTGTCTTTTCAAGGTACTGAGCCTTGGGGTAGATTGTTATCCAAGAACAGGTAATGAAGTCCCACTCTAGAAGGTTGATGCGGCATTAAACAAGTTGGTCTGTGTGAAGAGCTGTGGGTCCTCCATATCTGTGGGCTCTCCATCCACAGACTCAGATCACAAATATTCAAAACATGGTTGCATCTGAACTGAACCTATACAGACTTTCTTCTTGTCATCATTTCATAACAATACAGATAACGTTATTTACATGGCATTTACATTGGATTAGGTATGGTAAGTTATCTAGACATGACTTAAAGTATATGGGAGGGTGTGTGTGGGCTACATGCAAATGCTACACCATTTCATATGAGGGTCTTGAGCGCTCTGGGTTTTCGGTATCCAGGGAACCCATCTCCATGGAACTGAGGAGTGACTAGACATACAAAAAGTACAGTTTTATGCAGAGCACTCAATAAATGCTATCTTTTAATTATTGCTATTATTATAGTACGTGGCCAACAACCATGTGTTAAGTAAGTAGCTGAATTACTGTCCCGGTCCCCCAGCCTCCTTATCAAATTCTCACCTGGGCAGAGAAGTCGATCAGTTTTGGCAAAGGCTGCTTACTGCCTTCTTCACTTTTCAAAAAGTCCAGCAGGCTTCCTGTACAGAGGAATGAGAGAAGGTTTACTATCTTATTAATTGAGTGTCTTTTCATAACAATGCATTTTTGTTTTGTTTAGTTTTTTGAGATAGAGCCCCGCTATGTTCCCTAGGCTGATCTCCCTGCCTTAGCCTCTCAAGTATTTGGGACTATAAGCACTCACACCATGGCCAGCAATAGCACTGGATTTCAATAAACATATTTGCTGACCATTCCTGGTGCCTGAGAACTAGAACCTCAGTTTTTTGAAAGGACTTTCTCATTTTGATGGCCTTCTGAGCCCAGGGGCCTAAGGGCATGGCTTTATAAGCTGGCATAATGTACATTTAGAAAATGGAGGGTTTTTTTTTTTGGATAGAACTTGGGACTTTGCGCTTGCCAGGCAGGCGGCAGAAAGAAAATGGAGTTTGTTTTTTTTTTTTGGTACTGGGGATCGAACTCAGGTCCTTGGGCTTGCCAGGCAGGCGGTGGAACCACTGAGCTAAATCCCCAGCCCAAGAAAAGGGAGTTTTGAGATTTCAAATAATGCTCAGTGAGGCTGTATGAAATGTTTCTGTTTATCAAATAGAAAAGTTGTGAAAAGTAGCCTGAAAAGAAAACCTCTGCAATGTTCTGATTTTTTTTTTTTTTGGTACCGGCAATTGAACTCAGGACCTTGCGCTTGTGAGGCAGGTGTGGTGCCACTGAGCTAAATTCCCGGCCCTATGTTCTGATTTTTGACAGGGTGGGGTGGCCCAGTGCTGGCTTTGTCCCACTCTTTCCCAGTGTACTGGGACTGTAGGGCAGGGAGCTCAGTGGCGGTGGTGGGGACACACACACACATACACACATGACCCTGGTTCTAAGGCCCACGGGGAGCCCATGAGGAACCCCTGTGCCTCTTCTCTCCCCTCCCAGGCCCCTCTGGCCCTGCTCTCCTCTCCCTTTCCTAGGTGACCCCCTCCCACGGTGTCACTTATGGGCCAGGCAGGAGGGCTGGGCTGGTGGTCCTAGTGGGGACTCCCTGGCAGAGCTCCTGGTGCACTGAGAATGTCCATGCCATGGGCCCAGCCTGCACACCTTTGGCCATGAACTCCGTGATGATGTAGATGGGCTCCTGCGTGACCACTGCATGCAGCTTCACCAGCTTGTCATGCTGCAGCGTCTTCATGATGTTGGCCTCCTCCAGGAAGGCCTCCACTGACATGCTGCCCGGCTTCATTGTCTTCACTGCCACCTTGGTGTGCTGGTTGTAGGTGGCTGGAGAAGACGGAGCAAGGAAGGTGGTTAGGCTCCACCCACCTCCCCCAGCCCTGGAAGGCCAACTGCAGACCCACCTCTCACAGAGAGCCCTCCTTCTGCCTTAGAGAGGGAGGGACAGGCAGGGATCTCCCACCAATGTGGGGCAGACAGCTGGTCCCATACTTCCCAGCTGTGTGCACTTTGGCAAATCACTTAACCTCTCTGAGCCAGGAGTCCTCATCTGCATAGTGGGAATGATAAGCACTCCCTTTGAAGGGCAGATGCAAGATTGAACAACAACCTTAAAACACCACTTAGGTTATGCACACACACACACCCTACATCTTACTTTAACACTGTTCTTCTTCTTTTTTTTTTTTGTACGAGGGATCGAACTCAGGTCCTTGGGATTGCGCAGCAGGCAGCGAAACCACTGAGCTAAATCCCCGGCCCCATCTTGTGGATCTTGACAGTCTCATAACTGCTTTGGTTTTCATCAATGCCTTGGTTTCCAGGAAGCTCTAATCCAGATCTGTGGTCTTCCTGTAGTAAGACTCTAGGGCCTTTTATGACAGCTTTGGTTTTTTTCCCAACCTTACTACCTACCTCTGTCCTGCCTTCCTCTCCATATTTTCTTTTTCCTCATTCTTGTGTTCAGTGCCTGGCACACAGCAGGCACTCAAAGAGTGTGGTCACAGTAGGTGGATTTTAAGCTTACTTTCTCTGGCTGAATGTCTGCCTCCCTGCAAGCTGTCCTCCCTCCCACAGGGCACACTGTGGAGTGTCAACATAGCAGCACTGTGTTTACCCACCACCTTGCAAAGCAAACACTGCTGCTCTCAAGTTACTGGAGCAAGGACAGCAGGAGAAGAACATGCCTTTCTGGTGCCCCACAATGTCTGGATGGTACTGGGCACATCATGATGGGCTCAGAGTAGCTTGGTCCCCAGTTGCCAGCACTGAACTCACCTGGAAGTCTCCAAGCTGCACTGCCCCACTGTTAATTCCCTTTTCCCCCAGAGGCCTCTGGTTATGCCAACCCCACCCTAGTAGACTGTCCCAACTCCATACAAGGGAGGGGATTCCTTGTCCAGGACTCCTGATTCCTAGAAGGAAGTTCTGGGCCAGACCCAACCTTCCTGGCCCCAAAGGCAAATTGTGTTTGCACAGCAGGACAATTTGCTTTGTTCTGGAGGAATTGACCCTTTGTGGTTATTATTCAAATGCTCCCTGCAGCCTGGTGGCATTCCCACTTGGTTTCAGGATGTTCCTGGAAGCAGAAAACCTCCCGTTCCCCTCTCCACCTTCTCCCTCCCCAGTCCCTGGGTCCTTACCCATCCAGACTTCCCCAAACTGCCCAGCTCCAAGTCTCTTCTCCAGCTTGAGGGATTCCCGGGGAATCTCCCAGGCATCTTTCTCCCATGGCTTCTGGGGCTTGGAGGACACACATGGAAATGACAGCTTCTGGCACAGTCCGTCCTTCCCCTCTGGAACAGAGTCCCTGGGTTAGTTACAGGCAACAAGCTCCAAGCCAGCCAGAGGCCTCTTGTCTGGTACTCTGCATCTGGCCAACTTCTATGTGCTTGCCACACTGGGGACATATGCAAGACAGCAGAACATGATAGGATGGCACCTCTATATCTTGGCCACCTCTACCCTCCTGCTCCACAAGCCCAAGCCTTCAGGAGAATCCAAAGAAGCTGATTATCAGCAGAGAGTCAGGAAGGACTCTGAAGGCCTTAGGGGCTGCAGTGCACCTGTGACCAGGATTCCCGGGGACAGGCCCATCTTTGTGGGAATATGTGGGCTGGGGGACACAGCTCAGTGGTAGAGTGCTTGCCCTCTAGGCCCTGGGTTCAACCCCAGCACCTCAAAACAAAACAAATAAAAAAGTAAAGCAAAGTAAAGGCGTGGAAGACTAAAAGCAGTGGGGTCATATCCTTGTCCCTGCCCAGGCAGTACTTCATAGTGAGTATGGGTTCTGGGGTTAGACAGCTGGGATGTGGCCCTGGGCAGGACTCACTCTTGTAGTGGGCCACCAGGTCCTGCAGGCTGCTGAAGGTGCTCCTCGGGGAGACATAGAAGCCCCCATTGTCCAGGGTCCGGATCTTGTAGTGCTTCACTGTGTCTCCTTGCTGTGGGTCACAGTCTCGAACAGACAAAGAGTAGCTCCCTGGATTCATAAGAGAGAAGCCCCTCAGAATGGCAGCCTCCAGCTTGTGTCAGCCCCCTGACACCCTACCTGACCCCCAAGAGGCCACTGCTGCCACCATCCAGGCACCAGGGCAGGAGAACATGAGAGGAAGAGTGGGCTGTGGCACCAGGTGCCTGGATTCTATCCTGGCTTTGCCATTCCCAGCTGTGAGAATTGGGGCCAGTGACTACATTCCCACTCTGTGCCTCAGTTTCCTCATCTGTGAAATGGGCTTCATCATACCTCTCTATCTCATCACATTGCTTGATGATCAGAAGAAATAATGTTTGAAAAGGACTTGGGACAAACACTCCATAAATGTTGTCTGTCTCATCATCTTCCTGATTATTTTGCCATCTATAGTATCTATCTAACAAATAAAAAGCAAAGAAAATAACAAATATTTGTTTAACAAATAAACAGCAAAGAAAACTCAGACCAACTACTGGAATGTGAACATGTTGTTTTAGGCTGAATAATGGTCCCCCTAGATGTCCATACTCAACCTCTGACTCCTGGGAATGTTGATTTACATGGTTAAGGGGACTTTAAATTAAGGATCTGGAGCTGGAGTTATCCTGGTTTATCTGGGTAACCCCAGTATAATCCCCTGGATCCTTGTCAGAAGGAGCCAAGGTCGGGCCCAGGATTTAGCTCAGTGCTTCCGCAGCCTGCCTTGTAAGCACAAGGTCCCAAGTTTGATCCCCGGTACCAAAAAAAAAAAGGTCAAAGTTGGTAGTAGGAGATGTGAAGATGGAAAGAAGGGGTTGGAGAGATGTCAGGAAGGGCTGTGAGCCAAGAAAGGCTGTGACCTCGAAAAAAGGCACCGCACTTGCAGTAGTTTGTTACAGCAACAAAAGGAACACGTGATCATGTAGATAAACACACAAGCCTTTTGGTCTACAACCACAGTTTGCCATTTGAGGCTGTGTACCCTTGGACATGTCACAGGCCTCTCTGTCATACATTTTTCTCTATCACAATAGCACACAATGCCATAGAATCTGGGGGAAACTTACATCATTGAATGAATAATATTTGACCATACATGCCAGGCACTACTGTATTCCAAATGTCCTCTATGAATGAATAGGAATATTTATTATAATAAATTATAATATATAAAGTTTTATAATGAATTAATAACCCCTTGAAGTGGAAGTTTTATAATATTACTATCCTCATTTTTCTTTCTTATTCTTGAGATAGAGTCTCCCTATTGTAATCCAGGCTGGCCTGGAACTCATGGCAGCCTGGGCCTCATCATTGCTGAGATTACAGGCGTGCACCACCATGCCCGGCCTTACTGCCTGCATTTTACAGATGCAGTGACTGATGTCCAGAGAGGTGAAGTAACTCACCTATAGTCACACAGCTGGGAAGTGGCACAGGCACTGGCTCTGGGGTCCCTTCTTAGCCACTCTGTCCCAGTCAAGGTGAGGCTGCTTTGGCTGATGCCCAATGGGGTGGGCAGAATCCCAGAAGTGGCAGGATGGAATTCAGGGGCTCAGGCTACAAGTTTTATTAAACTGGCTAAGTCTCCACCACACCTCCACTGTGGCAGGCCATGAATCCTGGGCCCAGCTCACTTCCTTCCCCACAGGCCTGTGAAGGTTTCTTGGTTTCTTTGCCCTTGCTTGAAGGATACATCAGCTTGTCCCCAAGCTGTTCTGGGCACAGGTGGAGAGATGTGCTGAGCTGCATGTAGCTTTGCCTTTTTGACTCTGTTTCTCTTCCTCAGGGGCTGGGAGAGGACTTATTGCGTGAGAGGATTTAACACCTGAACACTCACTGACCTGAAACACTGTGAGTGACATTGTCCCAGCCACATTCGGATTTTGCCAGGGGTCAAATAGAAGGCCGCACTGAAACCTTTGATCAATGTCCCCAAAACAGTATGCTTCAGGGTACTGGGAGGTCACACTTCATACAACTTATTTATTTAAATGAATCATTTTTTAATCTAAACATGTATGTCTGACACAAACACTCTGCATGTGAAATCTGAAATCAGGAGAATCTTATTGTGACAGTTAATTGTTGTGTCAACTTGATTAAGAAACACCAACACCCAGTTGATTGGCTTAGCATAATCTGAATGGATTAACTGAAGATGGAAGATCCATCCTGGGTGTGAGTGACATTAACCAGTAGGTTTGTAGCCTAAGTGGAATAAAAAAGAGAAAGAAGAAGAAAGGCTCGTTTCTGTGTCTTCCGAGGAGCTCCAGTCTTCACCTTCACCCTGGACATTCATCTTCTGGCTTCCAGTACAGACTCTTCAGCCTTCCAGTGAAGACCCTTCAGCTTCGTGCTACAGACTCACCCAGGACTCTACAGTGAGCTCCAGGCCTTTGACTTTTGACTGTATGCTTCGATCTCAAGCACACAGCCTTTTTGTGCTCTTTCACACCTGACTCTGTAGGCACCCACTGTAAGCCTACCTTGTAAATCCATTAAATCTGTTTCTCTAGTGAGCACTGACTGATATACCTATTGGTGTTCATTCCCTTGGGAAAATTAGCCTCAGCTGGTGCCAGTTTGAGGTACTCAATATGATGTTCAGGCACTGTTCCTGCCACCCATCGCCTATTGTCAAGTTACTGCTCTCCCAGCACAGGGATTTCAGAAAGCTGCTCCTGCATCAGGCTTCCAAATATTTCCAAGGGGCATTTGAAGTAGAGTCTCAGAGGAGGCTGGCTTGGGTCTTTCTGCAATCTCATTCTGCCCCATTTCCCTACGGAGGGAGGAATCAAGCTTGTAGACAAGATAGATTGCAATGAGTATTTTTTTAAAATACAAGGTAGATCTGGGTGTGGTGGTGCACGCCTGTAACCCCAGCACTCGGGAGGCTGAGACAGGAGGATCACTATAAGTTTGAGCTCAGCCTGAGCTACACAGTGATTCCAAGGCCAGCCTGAACTACATAGAAAGACCCTGTCTCAGAAAAACAAAAAACAAAACACAAAAACCCCAAGCTAGTGAAGATCAAGTTTCAGCAGGGTATTTTTTTGTTTGTTTTCAGGGCTCAAACCACCTGAGACTACTACCATTGACCAAGCCTGCAACTACAGGGGCTGAGAAGGGCCAAGCTGAACACAGATTCTCAACTCCTCTTGCCTCAGAGTGGCAAAGGGCAGGAGAAAACATGGTGGTCATGGCCTCCTGGCTGAATTGCTCAGTCCTCCCCAGAGCTTTTTCCAAGGGAGAGGTAGGGGCAAGCCTGGGGCTTGCCCCTGCAGGGCAGGACAAAGCAGGGAGGCTGGTGTCACCTTTGGTGGTCTCGCTATCCCGGATCATGAAGGAGCCCAGCATGTTGCCAGGAGCTAGGAGTTGGCGCTCTGCGTCCTTCCGGCTGATGCCCTTGAAGAACCACCTGATGGGAAGGGATGGGGACACATGTGAACTGGGAGGGATGGGCTTAGCACAGGGCACTTGTGGCCACCTGGAGCCCAGGTGGGAGCCAGGAGGGCAAGGGCCTGGCTTTCTGTAGCATCATTTTCCTCCAAGAATTTTTTTTTTTTTTTTTAAGAAAACAGTCATTCTTTTCATGTCAAAAGACATTTACCAAAGGCAAATCCAGTTTACTGAGACTGAAACCTGTGCAATTTGGGAGAGACTTTTTTTAAAAAAGAAAAACAATGCAGCATTACAAATGCAGAGTGCTTCACCTCTCCATGTGAAGGATGGGCAGCTGTCTTAGCTCATTGCGGTCATACATCTCAAGTCTGCAAGTTTCACAAGCACACATGACCTTGGGGAAGAACCCTCTCGGGGCCACAGAGGCCTGTAGAAGTGAAGGCCTGAGTCTGCTTAGCTTCCCACTCAATCCTCTGAGTATGCACAGGCGAATCCATAGTCAGCATGACTTTCTAAGCCAAAATGTGAGACTGCAAAGAACTTTAAACTCTGGAACTCCTGGGAACTTTCCTTCATTCTTCCTGGATATTTGGGATATTGAGTAGGAAAGTTTAAGTAGCAGCAGCTGAATCCACTCCCACCCACACTAAGGTGAGGAGCTGTGATATATAAAGCCCCAGAACAGATGTTAGCAGGCCTTGATCCTGCTGTAAACCTGCTGTGTCACTTAGAGCAAGTTGGTTTCCCTCTCTGGGCCTCTATTTCCTCTGTTATCAACCAGAGAGAAAGACAGATAATATTCATTGAGCTCTTATTATCTACAGAATTGTTGCTTTTATTATTCTGATTTTATAGGTGAGGAAACTGAGGAACAGAAAAGGGCAGTAACTTGCCCAGGGTCATTTAGCTTAGATATATAAAGGCAAGATTCAGATCTAGGCAGACTAACTCCCCAGCCCAAGTGTGAGCTCTCATTCTTGTGGGAGAGGCAGGCAATGCACATGTGAACAGCCAGAGAAACAAGATGATTTTTGCTAGTAAGAGGTGTTCAGAGGGAATAAAATAGCCTTCCACAAGGAGAGTTGCAGAAGGACCCATCTCAGGCAGGTGGGCAGGGAAGGCTCTGAGGCCTGATGCTAGAGGAGCCAGCCAAGCCACAAGCCCTGGGAAGTGTGACAGGAGGGCAGACACTACATGCAAAGGTCCTGAGGCAGGAACCGTGCTGGCTTTGCTCACACTTCCTTTTGGGAGGTAGGAAACTGATACTTACTCCTCTGTCTCCAGAGAGTTAACGCGGGCCACATAGTTGCTTGGGATGTAACCCTCTTTCTGGGTAGCCAAGGATTGCGCCCTCCACCACTCCCCAGACCTGAGGAACAAGAGAGAGAGAAGGGATCAGGGCAAAGGGACTATCCTCCATGTCCCTGTGTCCCCTACCCCCAGGGAGCCAGGAGGGGCAGAGGCAGGTCCATGACTGTCTTGCCCCTGGCCTGGGCCCCACGACTAGGAAAGGGATCTTGGCATAATCCCCACTGAGCATCCGAAGTTGAACCTTATCCCAGAGTCTCTGCCTGTGGCCCAGGTCCTTGGCCCTGCTCTTCTCTCCTGGGCCTGCACCTTTTCTGAGGAGCTGGACCCAAGACAGGGGCTGAGCCAATGAGAGACACACAGTGGCTCCAGGGGGCTGACAGGAGGAGTCAGAGGGCTCAAGGGCCTGGCCAAGCACGACTTCTCCCACCCTTGGGCCCCTGCACCTCCTGGCCACAATGCCACTGATGGCCAGGTCTGGAGGGGGATAGGAGGTGCCCACTCAGAGATCCAAGGGTTTCCTTCTCTGTGGGGCTGGGGATGGAACGCAGGGACTCACAAATGCTAGGCAAGTGCTCCATTACTGGGCTACATCCCAGCCTTTTCTACTGTTTAAGACAAAGTCTTGCTAAGTGGCTCAGGCTGGCCTCAAAGTTTTGATCCTCTCTCGGCCAGATTCAAAGACTTCCAAGTACAAAAATCACTCAACAGGGCCTGGCCCATGGGGAAGTCTGTGGCTTAATCACTGGACTGTAGGAAGCTTTCCTGGAAAGTGTGCTCACCTGCTCATCACTGCCTGGAAGTGTACCATTCATACATGCATAGTCCCCTTTATGTTTCTGACATCTCCAAGTGATAGCAAAACCCTTTATGATGATCAGTTTATCAGTTATCTACTCACAGTCTAACAGGTGCTTTTTTAAATTTTTTTGAGACAGGGTCTCACTATGCAGCCCAAGCTAGCCATCAAGTTGCACCCTCCTGTGTCAGCCCCCAAGTGCTAAGATTAAAGGCATGCGCCATCTTTATTGAAGCACAAAAGAGGGCATAACTGAGTCCAGAAGAGGGTATGTCTTAGGGGCACTGAGATGGAGACTCACTCCTCCAGGACCACCATTTGGTCCCCCTTCTGGAAGCTGAGGTCTTCTCTGTGAATGGCATCGTAATCATACAAGGCAACCACAATGAAGTCCTCGGAACCTGCTGGGAAGGGAGATACATGCATGGTGAGGCTCAGTCTGAGCAGACCCACAGCCTGAGTGTTTCCACGAAGCTCCTGGCCCCCAGCTCTGGACCCACCAATGCGTCTGTCTAATAGCATGAATAACCATCTCACTGTGCTGGGCGTGGCTCCAGGGTCTAAAGCTAACAGGGTTTTGTTCTTGTTACTGCTCAGTGTTATAGAAACACAGGGCGCCTGACAAAGAACTTCAGGGGCAATTCAGGGGATTTTCAAGGATGGTTTTAACTCTGGGATTTTGGTCTCAAGCTCTGATCCAGAACTTAACCTAACCGTCTTCAAGGTACGTGACTTCTCTGCAGATACTCACCCTCCATGAGCCCCGGGGGGTTGCTGTTGCTGTTAGGCCCCTGCAGGGAAGAAATGGGAGAAGATGAATCTGAGTGTGAGAAGCCATGGAAACGCTGTTGAAAAGGATGCCCCAGAGCATCTTACCCTATCCTTGTGTGTCATGGGACAAGGCCCATAGAGAACATGCTTGATGTCACTTTAAGGGCAGAGCCACCACAGGGATCCAGGTTTCTTGAGTTGTAGCCTTTGCTCTTGACCTTGGATATACTAGAGGATGTTGTATTGGCTCTTCACCTTCACATACAACAGGTGATCAAAATATACCATGTTTAAATTAATAATAGTTCTTACAGTAAAAGATACATTTCTGAGGCCAGGCATTTAGCTCAGTGGTGCTGTGCCTGACTCGAAAGTGGAAGGTCCTGGGTTCAATCCCCAGTACCAGAAAAGAAAAAGACACATTGCCATTAATCCCCCTCAAAATATTCCCCCTCACTTTGAATATACACACGCATATCCCATCATTTTTGTCACTTTCTGAAGCAGTTCTGGAAGTCCTCTTGTGAATGTCTTTAGTTGCAGTTGTGGCTGCCTTGATGCCCTGAATGTATTCCAGACACTTATCTTTCATGGTCATTTGGACTTTGGAGTAGAACCAGAAGCTGCATGGTACCATATCTGGTGAATAAGGTGGGTGAGGACACACTGTAATGTTTCTATGAGCCTGCCTTTCCACTGGATGGCAGTAGGCAGCATCATTCATGGCATTTTTGATCATACCTCATAAAGATACTCACAAAAGAGGGCTTCCAGAAGTTCCTTCTCTCTCTCTCTCTCCATCCCCCCCCCACCCGCTCTCTCTCCTCTCTCTCTTTCTTTCTTTGAGACAAGGTCTTGCTGTGTAGTCTAGGCTGGCCTAGTTCAAGTCTAGGCTTGAACTCACTATGTAGCACAGGCTGGCCTTGAACTTACGGTGATCCTCCTGCCTCAACCTTCCAAGTGCTAAGATCACAGGTGTGTGCCACCATGCCCAGCTCCAGAAGTACTTTAGAAAGTGACAAGAATGATGCAATATGTATATTGGAAGCGAGAGGAGTATTTTGAGAGCATTAATGGCAATGTATCTTTTACAGTAATAATCTTTAAAAAACTTTAAACATTCACCCTAGTTTTTCATCACATCTTGTACAGTGAGGGGGTTAGTCCAGATCAGTATTTTCCAAGGCATGTTTGAAGAAATCATAGCTCCACCAGCATTTCTCATGAATAAAGGTTCCACTGTGTATTTGAAATAATCTAAGCATCCACCCAAAAGGGGTAACTGCCATCTATACCATGTGCTCCAAGCATTGCTTGGAAGAGGGAGGTCAAGATACATTTTTGGGTGAAAAAGGTTGGTTCTGTAGAATGAAAAATACAATACACTTATATATAACACACACACATCCTCAATGTCTTCTGTGGACACCCACTTACTACATGGGTGTGAGTGTAAGTTCATGGAAAAAGGTTTCTAAGAGTCCACACCAAGAGTTGATTTCTCAGAGGAAGGGGATGAGGCATTTCTGAGGAGGGATGCATTGGTTAGTAATTCTGTAGCTTTAACTGTCATTTTTGATTTCTTCCATTTTCAAGGAGAGTGTATTTGTATGTCATACACATCATGAAGCACTCATTTGAAAAAAGGAATTTTGGAAACACTGAGGAATGCATGATTTGGGGGGAGACTCACAAAGTCCATTACAAAGAGTCACAAAGGCTCTGAGGAGTCCTCTAGGGAAGGAATTGTTTCACCCACATTTATCACACGGACCTGACCTGGGGACCTTCTGTCTGAGGAATATGTGACTAACTCACCTCTGAGCCAGCGTCCTGTGGGGGGACAACTGCCTCCCTTAGATCTGATGCTCCAAATCTGTGGGAGAAATCCTTGACCTCCCTCTGGGCCTCTGAGGACCTGAGACTCTGGAGCCCTCACCACACACAGGGTCCAGGGGCACACAGGTCAAGTGTCAGAGAGAGAGCGGTGACCACTCCATTATTCTCCCTTCTCCAGAATTAGTCCTGTTCTAGGCATTAGTTCTGCTTGAGGAAAGAGCAAACAGATGAAGAGAAGCCAGGAACTCATGTCATGGCAATTTGGAAGGGCTGGGAACTTTGGCCTTCAATCTCTGTAGGCTACCATGGGGCAAAGGGAGTGCATGTGTGTGGGGCAGGCTGAGGGGCAGGTCTGGGACCAAGGAGTAGGGGGTATAGGGTAGTAGGCCTCCCTCCAATATGAGGAAGGACTTCTAAGTGGCCACCCCAGGCACGGGGGAGGCACCTGGGGAGGCACCAAGCAGCAGCTGTGCTCGCCTTGCCAAATGCAGTTAAGGGGAGCCTGCATGGCTGGAGAGTGGAGAGAACTCCAAGTTTGAGCTTAGAAAGACCTGGCCCCTGGGCCATTTGACCTCATTACCCTGGCTGTGAAGCAGCATCACTCCTGCGTCCCAGCTGCAGTGCAGCCTCCCCATAGGGAAGTGCCCTTCCTGGGCCTCCGAGGTGTTTGAAGGCAGGAGCACTGGTTACCCTGTTAGCCTGCTGTGGGCGCAGCCACCCCCGGGCTGTACCAGTATTCTCACCTCTGCTATTATACAACCACTGCTCTCGTGACTATCACTGCCACAGCCACCATTACTAGTGGCTATTACCATGACTGCTGTTACCATCCCTGCCATGACTGCAGTTTTATCATCACTCTTACTCCTACCACTGGTACTTAGCAATGGGGGCTGTGCTGCCCAAGTTTGTGTTCTGGCTTCACCTCTTGATAGCCATGTGGCCTTAGGCAAGTTATTTAATTTCTGTGCCCCATCTATAACATAGGTAGAATACAAATTGTCACCTACATGATGTTTATTGTGAGCACTGAGCTTTTATTTTATTTTAATGTATGTAGCACTGGGAATTGAGTTTAGGGTCTTCACACTAAGCTATTTCCCAGCCCTTTTTATTTATTTTATTTTATTTTGAGATGAGACCTCCATAAGTCACTGAGTTTCCCAGGCTATGCTTGAACTTGTAGTCCTCCTGCCTCAGCCTCCCAGAGTACTGGGATTACAGGGGTGCACTGCCAAACCGGCTGATCATGTCAATACTTGTGAAATACCTAGGTTAATGTTTGGCTCACAGTAACCTCTGGATAAGCATAAAATAAGTAAGTAAACCCTTCTACTGTGGTTACTACTACTCTTATTTACCATCCCTCCCTATTCCTGCTGCTCCTATTGCTCTTACACTCCCGATGTTATTACTACCAGTCTTACCACAATGCTCATCGTTTTCTTGCTTGACATCCATCCTGCGTAAGTGTTGTTACTGCAACTGCTGTTCTTCTCAGTCTGGTCCCATGTTACCCCTAACGTGGCTTGAAGACCAGCAATGGCCACTTAGCCTGGTTAGTGCAGCAAAGCTGGGCTATAGGAAAGATATGATTCCCTTGCCCAGGAAGCATCTTGAGACCCATCCTGTGGAGTGATGGCTTTGAGATGGGCAGCAGCGCCATCTCACCTCAGCACACCTCACCCAGCTTCTGAGGGTGATGTCGGGGGCACTGGGCAGCAATCAGGATGCCCAGCCCTCCTCTACTCACCAGCTTGACTGAGGACGTGGGGTCCGGTACATACACAGGGGTGTGCAGGTTGGAGCTAGGCTCAGTTTTGGAGATTTTCCCTCTATCCCGGAGGAACTTGGACTTCAAGCACCCCATCCTGCAGCAGACAGAGGGAAGGGAGCCCAGATTGTTCAGAACCCCATGCAGGCTGGCTCCCCACTGCCTTGCTGCTTCAGCACACTGCCAGCCCCCCTGGAGCTGCCTGGCTGGACCCCCTGGCTTCCCCACAGTACTGGCCCAGAACATGCAGCCCTGGGGACCATGGAGCAGTGGGATTTGGCACTTACTCAGGAAAACTCACAAAGCAGGTGGGAGTGGTACAGGGAGACCCATGGGCAGAGGCGGGAGTGGGCCATGAGCACCACTGGCTCCTGAGTCCGAAAGCCTGAGCTGATCCCTGCCCTGCCCCACCCAACCAGCACCTCCTTTCTCACAAGTGTCAGTTCCTCATCGGCAAAATGGGGAGAATCATAAAACCTCCTGGCAGAGGATAGGAGGCTGGGAAAGCCCGAGGTGGAAATCCTCAGCACAGCTGGGCTCAGAGCCACAGGAAAACACAACTGTGTTAGGTAGTAAATGTCAAAGATGGCATCACATACCATGGCTCCAATAATCTAGCTAGGTAATAATCAAGGCCCCATATTCCTGGGGTTATTTTATAATTGGTTTATATCCTTCCCTTTCTCTCTTCCTTCTTCCCCTCCTCCTTCTCCCCACTCTCCACTCTCTCTTTGTCTCTGGATTTATTTGGTCATTCATCCATTCATTCATTTACTCAATAAACATTTACAGAGTACTTCTTTAAGCCATGAACAAGGCAGATAAATCCATGTCCTTATGGAGCTCAAATAGATGTGGTTAGGAGACACAATCAGTAAACAAGAAAACAAATAATATGACAAATGTAGCCAGTGAAAATCATGACAGCAATGAAATAGGGTGATAAGGGAACACATGGGCAGGGCCCCTTTAGACAGCTGCTTGGGAACAGCCTCTCTTTGGAGGTGATGTGGAACCTGCAGCCTGAATGACACAAGGGAGCCAGTCATGTGATACTCGGAGGGAAGAGTGTTCCAGGCAGAGGGAGCAGCAAGTGCAAAGGCCCTGAGGCTGGACTGTGCCTGGAGAAAAGGAGGCCCTCCAGGCAGGAGAAGGATGGCAGGTGACAAGTCTGTCACATCTGCTAGGGCCTGTGAGGAATTTGGATTTTATTCTGGGGGTGGTGGAAAATCATGGAAAGTTGTTGGCTGGAGAACGATGGGGTGCAGTTTGCACTTTAAATCATCCCAGTGGTTCCAGGGGGAGGTATGGACTCTAGGGAGCAGGGGCAGGGAGCCCAGCAGGGAGTCTGCTGTGGTCGTGCAGGGATGAGATGACAGCGGCCTGGCATTGGAAGTAAGAAGTGGACAGCTTCGGGGGACACTTTAGAGGCAGAGCTCACACACTCTGTTGCTTTTTAATTCATAGCTGCTTCAAGAGGGCTGAGGGTGTAGCTCAGGTGTAGAGCACTTGCCTAGGGTGTGTGAAGCCCTGGGTTCTAGCCCCAGCATTGCAGTAAATAAATAAAATTAGGATCTCAAAGAGAATATGTTCACCTGATGGGAGCCAATACTTACTGTGGGAGTGGCAGGTGTGTTTATTTCTGCTAAGGACATGTGTGCTTGCTGAGCGGGAGGGCTGTGGGCAGCTACATGGCAATGCCCGCTCTCCCCAGCTCTACAAGTGCAGTTTTCCCTAAAGCAGGAAGAATTTGGTTGTACTTGTTAAAGTAAACTTGGTATTTGTGGTTCAAGAAAGAAGATTCCAAATTTCTAGGTTTAGGGAAGTGACTTTATTATTTATTTATTTATTTAGGTTGTTTTGAGACAGGGTCTCACTATGTAGCCTAGGCTGGGCTCCAACTCACAGCAATTCTCATGCCTCAGCCTCAGGAGTGCTGGGATCATGGGTGTGAACCACCATGTCCAGCTTAGGGAAGTGATTTTAAACAAAGGAAAGATTCCTTTTAGGTACCAGGATTTGTCTGCCCTGATAGGGATTGGGAACAGTTTACCACCTCATGACATGAGCAGTTTTTGCTTCATTTGTTGAAGAAAGAAACACATTTAGACTCCTGTAATTCCAGATCATTAATTTGAAAAATTATCAGAATTAATCACGGTTTTATAATGTAGTTATATACATTTAAAACTGAAACCAACATCTCCCTTTGATTTGTGATAAATATGCATTATGACTCTGGGAAATTAAGCAGCATCTTGTGAATTTTTTTATGGCATAAAATTATGTTAATTACATGCCACATATTTTGTTCAACAGAAGGGAGTTCTGGGAAGAGCGCTCTGCCTTGTGACACAGGGCAGCTCCCTCCACCTCTCTGAGCACCCACTGATCTGCAGCTCCCAGCCTCACAGTTCCCAGCCCAGTGCATACTGGGCACCTAGTAAGTGTAGTTCATGTTCCCAAGGGACACAGAGCCCTGAGGGATGGGCTCTCGAGCCCTTGTGTTCCTTCCCACCCTGAGGCCACTGGGGGAAGGACAGTGGGGTGGTGGAGAGCACCAAGGGAGCTGACAGATGTGCACATGTGGCACACAGTAGGCACTGAGGTAACCTGTCCTGTTCACCAGCACAGAGGGTACTGGCCTGGTGCACTTTGCACTTCCTTTGGCCCAGAAGCAGCCCTGGGGTAGCCATCCTCTTACAACAGGAAATTCCCATCGGTTCCATTTGGCACAACAAAGTGTGTGGGCTTTTTTTTCTTTTCTGTTCTGTTCTGGGGATCAAACTCAGAGCCACATGCAGTCTAGGCAAGCATCCTACCACTGAGCTACACCTTCAGCCCCAAAGTGTGACTTTAAAGTGATATGATGTCAGGAGTCAAACGTGACTGCCCCCTTAAACCAAAGGAACCATGTCCAATGTCTGGTGTGGAGTAGGCAACAGAATGTCCTTTGTCATGTTCACTAGACCTATAGATGTCACATGAGCCACATACAAAACTAAGGTTTTGTACAACTATGTTTTTAAAAGCAAAAAAAGGTGAATTAATTTAAAATGAATTTATTTTATATATTTTTTTCATTTTTTGAGATGATGTCTCACTGTGCTTCCCAGGCTGGCCTTGAACCCCAGGGTTCAAGAGATCCTTCTGACTCAGGCTCCCGGGAAGCTGGAATTACAGGTCCAACCCTGGTCTACATTCTTTTATTGTACTCAGTCTTTATATCCCAATGTGTTTGGCAGCTCAAAGCTACCACACCTGCCAGGGCAGAGGCAGGCCATTTCCATCATCAATGCACAGTCACAGTGGGTCTTGCTCATTCTGTGTCCCTGAGTGCTTAACCTGGTGCCTATCTGGTGCCCAGTAAGAGCTTCGTGCACAGTTAGTGCATGAAAACCACGCGGGCACTGTGCTCTCTGGACAATGCAGGTAATAGAATGCAGCTTCTGTTCCTGGGACTGAGTTGAGAAGGGAAGGCTGGAATGAAGGCTGAAGTTGGGAATCATAATACTCAAGTTTGGATCATGGTACTACACTGACTGGCTATGGGACCTGGGGCAAGTTACTTCCCCTCTCTGAGTCTAATTTTCTTTCCTCTAAAATAGGAGGCACCTAAGCCGGGGATGGTAGTGCACACCCATAACATCAGCACTCTGGGAGGCTGAGGCAGGAGGATCATAAGTTCAAACCCAGCCTGGGCAACTTAACAACTCAGTGAGACCCTGTCTCAAAATAAAAAATAAAAGAAGTGCTGGTGATGCAGATCAGTGTGAAAGCCTGGGGTTCAAATCCCTAATATTACAAAAAAAAAAGGAGATGTCCTGTGCGATAAGGGATGTGAGAAACTATTTGAAACCTCCCCACACACGTTTCTCTACCAATGTGGTTCAAAACCAGGCCTGAGAGCAGAAGTACCCTCTGGGGCCCCATGCTGGCTCTGAACAGCTGACCCCTGGCTGTGACACTTCCTCAGCCACTGCCCACACCTGGAACCTGAAACCTGCTCTAGCACCTCACTGGGCTTCTGGGACTGAGGTGGGTCAGCTGGCACCCAGCTTCCTTCCAGGGTCGCCATGCTGGCTGATCTCAGTGCCAAGCCCAGGGAGGAGAGGCCAGAGCATGTGGTCCTTCATTCGGTCCTTTCTCTGCTAAAAGCTCACTGTGTGACTTCAGGCAAGTCTCTCTCTTTCTCTCTGGGCCTCAGTTTCTCCAAGTGAGAAGCTGGACAAGAAGTCCTCTAAAAAGGACAGCTGTGGTTCTCTCCAGCATGGCGTCTGTTCCTCTTCTTCTAACTTTGGCCCTCCTAGCTTTCCTCTGGGGACGTCCTCTCCCCAGTCTCACTTCATGGACTGGGAAAGTGGACTCCAGTCCTTCCACCCCTCCATAGGCATGCATCTGTGACCAAGCCTGCTGAGTTGAAGTAACAGGAGCAGAAATGGACATGTGACTGTCCTGGCCAAGGAGAACCAGCCTGTGGCCTCTGGCTCAGAAACAGGGTTGTAGCAGGAGAAATGAAGAAACAGACTCTTAAACTTGGCTCAGGCCTTGTCTGGAGCTGATATCTCCAGACTTTTTAATAGCTTCCCTCTTCTGCTTGAGCTAGCTGGGGGCAGATTTCTGCCCATTTGAATACCAAAATACTGTCCAGGACAGAGGAAATTCTTACAAGGGATTGTAATTCACACTCAAGTGCAAATGGCTGATAGCAAAGACTTCTCTGATAGCAGTTTTGATAGAAGTTAAGATGATCCTAGAGCCATAGAGTAGGTGAGGATGGGTGGAATGTGGATCCCATTAAAGTGATGGCACTGAAGCCATGCCTTAAAAGCACCTGGCATATGATAGGCTCTCCGTATTCATTTGTGGAGTGAATGGATTGTGTTCTACTCCCTACAGGGCATCACCATGTGGGGCCAAAGGCAGAAGATCAGAATTGTGAACCCATTTCTCAGATAGAGCAATTAAGGCCCTTGGGAGAGAGGGTCTCCCCTTGGTCAGTGACAGGCAGAACTAGTTCTCAGCTCTCCTACCTCTCGTCACCCATGGCAGTCAGCCCTGGAGGCCACAGGCGACAAAGGGGAAGGGGGGAATGAG